CATTGTTGCTTGACATTACGCAAACAATTCAATTGATGGATTTTTGGATTTTTTTTTTTTTTTTTTTTTTTATTACATGCACGAGTTTTTTTTTTTGTAAGAGAAAAGAAAAACGCTCAAGTAAACTCTTGGATCGACTTCTGATGATGTGAAGTTAGAAACAAAAGCACTTGCTGGCACTTCTTCTTGATATAAAAAAAGGAAAGTGCATTGTTGCTTGACATTACGCAAACAATTCAATTTTTAATAACAAACGTTTCGAGATGCTTTGTAAGCAATCTAGACAGCATAGAAAGGTCAAAAGATTACAAAAAAATTGCGTTTTTAGATCATCTTTTAGAAAGACGCGTGCTGTCTGGGAAACATCCAGTTAAAAAACTTGATATTACTTGATTTATATAATCGCTCACGTCTTTCTTTTAGCAAAGTCTAATCGATCAACAATTTCTTACATTTTTTTAAAATGTATATATAATTACAAAGAACATCTCGGAACTGTAATCGCGCTATTCGATCGTCTCAAACGGCTTCCGGCATCCTCTCATAAAAAAGCAAAAGAAATGTAAGAAATTGTTGATCGATTAGACTTTGCTAAAAGAAAAACGTGAGCGATTATTAATAAATGTATTATATTATTGTTACTATTGCGCAGTCTTGAAACGAAAATTTCAGCGTGATATTTCCGTGACGTGAAAATATGATTTTTCGACTGAAAATGAAAAAAAATTCGAGAGACGTATTTCGTGCGCGCGCCACGGCGCACACCGATCGTTGTTGTTGCACGAAGTAATATGTGCTGTATCGATGTTTTGTATAAGTATATATCATTGGTCTGTTATTGATCTGTTATTGGTTTGTGTTAGGTGGTCATTTATTAATTTTATTTTATTCTTCTATTTTAATATTATTTATATCTCAATAAATTATGCAATGTGATTCCGCACGAGAAATTTCTTGTTGTTTTTTACCTTCTTTTGTCTTGTCGCGCGAATAATTCTGTAATCTCGATGTTTTTGCAAAAATTTGTGACAAACATGCGAAAACAATTTGACTCGAAGACGAAGTTAATTCGAAAAAGAACTTCCGACAAAGAACTGTCGGAGTTCGGTCTCAAGACCGGAGAAAGCGAACGACGAGATCGGTCACGATACACAACTGTGAAATCGCTCGCCGGAGCTCGATGGAACGAAGCGGAAAAGGTTAAAGACGAGTTGAAGACGTTACTTCCGATACTAACGCCTTCGCAAGTGAAAAGGTCTTGTGATTTCGAAACTATGTAATAATTATTTCGTCAAAATATAAATTTTTGTTTTTTTCACTGGTAAATCTCGTCTATTTCAATCAGATTTTATCTGCCGTTTCACGAAGCCGTCATTGACGAGCTTGAGGAAAACGGGTGCGAGAAGTCCGCCAACTTTCTCAGAACGCTGTTCGAACTGGACGAGAAATCTCGCGAAGAAGCGGGTCCTGATACACCAACGTGGAGAAAGCCGCGTTTGAGGAACAACAAAGCTGCGGTGACGCGTCTCAAGGAAGGCTTAATCGCTTCTGAAAACTTCGAGAAAATCGGTTAGATATTGAATTGAGATTTGAGAGAATTCAGCAAAACATACATTTTTTAATCGGATCGCGACAAGTTCAAGCGTTGCCAGTTCAAAGCGCACCTATAAACGCGACACCGCGATAAAATAATAAAAAATTGTAAAAATAAATTTTACAAACGTATGCGAAGGAAATTCAATTTCCGCGACGACAGAACTTGTCAAGATGGCGCAACACTTTCAGTCGATGACGTGGGAGTGGTGGTACGTGGCGGAACAGCTTCTTCGTTGCGCCCTGACGCAAGCGGAATTGATAAAGGATGACAAAAAACAAACAATCACCTTGGTGAATTATTTGTACGGCCGCTTCCTGTTTGAAAAAAGTTAGCGAACAATTCTTGCAAAAATTTTTGCATACATTACTCATTCTGACGCACGATTTCGTAAGCATTTGCTTGACTGAATCCGCGCCGCATGTTAAATTGCAAAGTAATTTTGGTCAATATTAATCATCATATTTATTTGCAATTCAACAATCATCATTATCATTTATTTTTAATCGCGTAATTTTAGCGCAAGATGTGGCAAAGTCAATGGAATATTTGGAAGTCGCGCGTGAAGCCAGCCGGGAAAGATCGTGGAACGCGTCGAAGATCACCGGTCGCAAAGAGAAAACCGTTTATCGGGAATGCAACGTGCTTCTGTACAAAGCGCTGCTGATGCGCGCGCGCCAACTCGATCAGCCGGATGTCATCGAGCAAACGTGCAACGAGGCTCTCGCACGAGCGAAAGATTGTGAGCTATTCTTCGTGTTTAGGTTCGCGAATCGTTCACTCGGTTCTATTTTTTTTTTTTTTTATTGGTTGTTTGGCGTGTGGCCCAGTCTGCGATAAGATTTACCGTTCACCAGTTTCACGTTTACGCGTGAACCTTCGCAGCCGGGGACCACGAATACGTCGCGAACGCATTGTACGAGCTGGGCAAGATTCAACTGCGCGCACGCAACGTCAAAGTCGCCTTCCGAAATTTCTCCCGACTTCTGGCGATGGCCAAGAGGATCCCGGACCCGGAAGGAATCTGCAACGCGCACAAAGGGATGGCGCTCGTGTACAAGTTACGAATCTACAACAGTAGTTGAAAAAAAATATATAATGTAAAAATATCGAAGAGAGTATATAATTTTTTTTTTTTTTTACCCCGCTCCCCTCCGCGTCCTGCGATTGATGTTCTGTGTCGGAACTCGACGGAACTTTCCATCAGTCTTAACGACGTGAATTTCTCGCCTCGTTATTTTGATTCGCGTTCGTCGCAGAACGTAATATTACGAATATGTGCGAGAGCGGACGCTCTAAAATTACAAATTTCAAATTTTTCTCTCGCCGATTCGCTCGTTTTGCAAACGACCAATTGCAAAAACGATTCTTTTAGACGGTTTCGCCCATTTACAGGAACTGAAAGACGAGACGAACACGAACAATCATCTCCGTCTGTTCATGGAAAACGCGGCCGAGTTCGGACTCGCGGGAAAACTGGCGCAGGCGCACTACATCGCTGGCGAGTATTTTCTGAGCGAGGTGTGTGTCGACTTCGATCTTTCGAGTATCTGTTACGTGCCGCTTATTTCTGGATTTTTTTTTTTTTTTTTTGGCTTTCGAAAGAAAAAAACCGACGACAGTCGGAATCGATTCCGAAAAAAAGTGCGCACTAAACTATCCCCCCGTGTGTGAGTAACAAACACAAATTGTTTCGTATCGCGGGGAATTATCTGCGGAAATGATTTTCGCAAGAGAGCGTGTGTGCGTACATATATTTTGTGCGTACATTAATTTTAAAATAATATTCGATTTTGCAGAGAAGACCGGACGAAGCGACTTCTCACTTGGAAACGTCCTTCAATCTGTACAGCGAACTCGGTTCGAATGTCGACGTCGATAGGGCGCGATTTATGACTGGAGTTTCGAAGGGTAAACGAAACACGCGTCAAGACACGAAACTAACTCGAAGAACATGCAAACTCGTGTACTTTAACGTATGTTTTTTTTTTTTTTTATTATAAGGGCAAGAAATTATTGCTCGTTACATCGAGCAATAATATTCCAATGCGCGACAACCGACTCACCGGCAATATCGTTACTTTGCGAGTGGAAAAACGAGAGAAGCGCTTTTTGGACGGAGAACAAGTCACATAGCGGTGAAGAAGAGCAACGTCAAAAATGATTGTCGGTCTTGATCTTTGAACTAATGGGACGGCGTATGTGTTAATAACGAAACTGGCGCAAAGCATCAAGAAGCGTCTCGCGTATATTGCGCGATATAAAAAACTATTGAACAAGTACGCAACAAAATACTTTCGCAATAAAATTTACAATAAAAAAATATTTACATGATAAAACAACGTCCGTGAAAATTAATTTCTGTAAATTTTTTTAATTTTTTTTTTCTGGTAGTTTTTTATAAACCGATTTTGGCTTCGTAGCGCCACATTAAGAATAAAATTTGTTTTCAACATATTTCTGCACATTTTTTTGAAACAATTTCTTTACTGGGAGTAAAAAAAAAAAAAAAAAAAAAAAGCGCTGTTATATTTCATAAGTCTGAATTCGAATCGAGATTCAAAGAGACATTTAAGACACCTCGATGTTGCGCTTTGAAAGATTCAAAGATAAATTTGACATGTAAGAAAAATTAGAGTTACTTGTATACTTATATAGAAATATGTAATATTGTTTTTATACTTGTGTGATATTCATATAAATCGTTAATTAAGTTTTTAACCACACTTTACCGATTGATTTATTCAAGCGTTTTTTATAAAACATGTTTTTGCGCCACAGTCCTTTAGTAAAAAAGTATTAATGCATCTTATGCATCAGATGAAAAGGTTTTTTGTTCAATAGCGTAATGTCTGTGCGTATATTCAAGGACGAAAATCGATGGAAATTTACAGATACTTATTCTGTGAAAAAAAAATGGTTTTCCTATATTGTAATCGTGTAATCTTTTTACGTTACCGAGTATTTTTTATTTTGGCGACGTAACGCGCTAATTTATTTTGAAGATTAAAAAACAAAAAAACCAAAAAAAAAAAAACAAAAACAAAAACAAAACAGGTGTGCTTATTTGGAAAGTTGCGAAAGTTACAACATTTGTTTTATTTCTTATATTTTAAAATATTTGAGTCATATTTTACATGTTAAAACTCATTTAACTGTTTTGTTTTCAATCGAAACCGTCTATTTTCGCAAAGTCAGACATCGTTATTAAAAACTTTTTGAGTATGGAAACTCGTTTATACACATGTTGTGTGTTTATGGCATGGTGTGTGTTGCGTTCGCAAAAACACCGCGCAACGATATAAATACAAATATCTCGTGAATTTCTTATCACTTGCTGCATACGTAATAAAATCAAGTACGCGTGACGGAAAGCTTTCAAGTTGGTTCGAGCCGTGACGTTATCCGAGTATCCGGACGGAGCGAAGCAAATCGCGAATTCTTTTTTTTTTTTTAATTGTAAGCAATTGAAAATTTGTGCTTGAAAAATTTTCCGTTTATTCGCAACACGCGAGTAATAGAGCGTCGGTCGCGTCTCGCGGATCCACGCGAATTTTGTTCGTTTGAAAAAAGAAAATCGAGAAAAAAATTCTAGAAATCTTGGAATTCTATGTCTCGAAAAAGGAAGAAGTTTCAAATTTTGTGCGCGAATTTCCAAAAATTTTCCATTACTCGAATATTTCGAAACCCCCCATTCGGATCGCGGATAGTCGGATATCGGGAAAAGTGAGTCTAGGCATCAAAAGTGTCTTCACGGGGGAAAAAAAACATTTGTATATATGTATAGACATATGTATGTATATATGTAAATATACGTACACACACACACACACACACACGCACACACACACGCACACACACACCTACACGCGCGCATCTCTCGTATAGACTACATATCCTAATATACATTATATATGCTATGTGATATATATATGTATATAATTATTTATATATATATATATATATAATATACAGGCATCTCTCGACTCATATACGACGAAGTTATGTTCAGAGACAATCTTATTCAAGCGCGCGAATTGACGCAAAACTATGTATACGTGTCAATTAAATCCGCACAAATTAGCATATTGATGATATTTTGTGTGAATAAAACATTAGTCGTACGAATTATTGATTTTATTGATACAAAAACGAGAGATTTTCATTCAATCGTTTTAAGCGCCACTATACAGTGGCTTCCCGCAGAGCGACGATTTTTAGAACAAACAACCACACCAGAGTGGCTCTCTTCTCTATCTCGCACTGGAAATCGCATGTACAACGTTGTTGCAACGCGAAAATTAGTTTTTACACGTTTTGATATCCGTTTTTTATACATCGCGACAGAAAACTGTCCGTGCGACGGTACAGCTTCGCGACTATAGTTCAGCGAAAGGGTCAATAACAAAATAACAAAACAAAATCGCTGTTCCTTAAGAATATAAAATTAATATCGTTCACACTGGTAAGTCGTAAGTCCGAAAATTCGTAAAATAGTCATAAACACAAATCGGATACCTGTCGAGGGATACCTGTAAATAAAATTCTTTTTAGTGTAGATTTTTGTTTTGCGTGCTTTGCGCTCGAACTTGACACGCTACACGTGTCTCGCAATTAATATCTATCGTTTAATTTACAAAATTGGTTTTGCTTTTTTTTGTTTTTTTTGTTTTTTAACTTTTATGCTTACAATTTCATTGCACAGGTAGCTTTTCTTGGTCTTATCTTTACTTCAAACGTACAAGCATTCAAAATTTATGTGCCGGAGTTATGAGAATTCTGCGTTTTTATTAGCATTTCAAAAAATTTCCCTTAAACACATATGGGGTGACGTCATCACGTCACAAACGAAATGTAAAAAAGAAATGTAAGCAGTGAAAAATTCAAGTGTCTTCTTGAGAAAAATATAGCAAACTAAAAAGAAAACATTTTGATCATAAAGACATACAATACACTTGTATCCAGTCCTTTTTATTCTATTTTTTTTTAATTTTTTATTTTATTTTTTTTAATTTTTTTTTATAGTTTTTTTAACTAACTTAGATTCTTTCCTTGGATATATTTTGTCTCAAACATTTGTTTTTTAGAGCTATGAACATACTGCACAACGAATGTAAGTAGAAACAGAACAAAATTATTATACGTGTGTGTCTTAATGTGCTACAGGTACAATTAACCTAAGATGATGTCGTTATCATCGTCTAACTCCAAGATCGGGTCCAAAGACGGCATATCGGCACTACTGTTTATCTCGCGCGATATGTTTTCCAGGGTCTCGTCGTCATCGTTATTGCCGTTTTTCATACAGTCTTTTCGCCTTTGACTTTCCTCGAGCACTCTGTCAAATATCTCATGTAATATCTCGGTAACGTTCGACGTTTCCTGCCCGTCACATTTACTCGCCAAATTATCCCGCACCAACTCCTCAAGGCTCTCGACCTCCTCTTCCAATCTGCTTTTCTCTTCTCTTTGTATCGTAATAATATCTTCCGTGTCATCTGAAGATTTGATCGTGTCGCTCGTATTGTGCGTCAAATCTATTTGAATGATGTCGTCGTATCTGTCGCTGTCATCTTTCTTGTCAAACGACGGCCCGTAATCTGAAGGATTCAGGTCAATTGTTATGTCTTCCACATTATTACTCTTGTCATTGTTTGTAATCGCTTCCATCTCCAGAATTGGTTCGTCCGTCTTGTTCTGCTGCTTCGCGACCGATTCAATCTCGCTTATGTCTATATCAATGTCATTCAGATCTCCGTCGTTCAACAATTCCGTCTCATCGGTGATATCGATTGTATCGATCTGCTTCTCCGGCTTTTCCGTAAGTTGCTTTCCCAAACACTCGTCCGTTAAATCGCACAAATCGTCGTTTATCTCTTCTATTCGGCCATTTTCAGTATCTTTATCGTTTCTAACAATTTTGCCATCTTCAGCAAGAAGATCCGTATTTTCTGTATCTTCGTTAATTTTTTCCGCGTCCTTCTTGCCGCTTTCATCGTCTACTTGATCCTCGTTAGTAATCTTGGATACATCAGGATCGGGTAAATCTGACGATTTAGCCGTTTCTTTATCGCTCGTTTTTTCTTCCACCTTTTCCTTGCTGCTTTCATTGTCCACGCATTGATCCTCGCCAGTCCTAGTTACGTTAGGAACGGACAAATCTGGCGATTCCATCTTTTTTTCTTTATCGCACGTTTTTTTCTCGCAAGTATCATCTTCGTCTTTATTACGTTCGCTAACAGACTCCTCTTTATTCGCCAAGGATATTTCTGTATCATTCTCTGTCTCCGTATTTTCATCTTCTTTTGCGCATTTGGCTGCGTCAACATCCACGTGTTTCTGACTTTCTTCCGTGGATGATTCGCTATCTTTCTGTACATCTTTTCTCACCTCTTCCCCATCTTTTGACGCGTCTTTTTCAACCGTTGTATCTATCTCAACCGACGTATCTTGATTCTTCGATGCGTCTTTGGTATCCGATTCTTTCGACGTGTCCTTGTTACTTATATCCTCGTCTTCTTTTTCAAATAACAACGCCGTTTCGTCCAATACGGCGTTCAATTTTCTGTCCGGTTCTTTAGATTTCTTCGTCAAAAACTTTTCGTTAGTCTGAATCAAACATACTTTTTCAATACTTTGAATTTGCGGACGTTTTTCCTCCGCGCGATCGTCGCTCTCCGTCGCGTCATCTGTCGATTCAATTTTATCTTTCGCGTTCTTCTCGTCTTCTTTCTTCTGTTCCTTTTCGCTCGCGCAATCTCTGCGCGAAGCATTGAAGATTTCTTCATCGGTATCATCGTCGATGTTGATAGCAATCTCCTCAGCCGGATCTTCGACCGTTTTCTCACCAGCGCTCGCCGCTTTCTCGGAAGATTTATCCTCCTGCGAATCAACGTTTGTTTCCTCCGTGGTGCTCGAAACAGTCGTCTTTATCAGTTTCAATATAGGCTGATTGAGATGCGACAATTTGTGCTCCAGACTCGACAACTTGTTGTCAAATTCTTTATCGCACCTGTCACAAGGATACACTTCCTTACTTTCTGACACTTCCTTATTACTTTCTGACACTTCCTTATTACTTTCTGACACTTCCTTATTACTTTCTGACACTTCCGATTTTGGAGATTTCACTTCCAACGGTACATCGACACTAGAGTTAGAAGACGATCTTACTCTTTTAACGATCCGTTGTTTATTTTTCTTGCTCTCATCCGCAGTTGATGTGGTTTCGCGCTGTGTGTCTTTTGTTCCTTTCTTGTCATCACTCTCATCGTTATCAAACTCCATGCATAGATTCGACGTTACCCCTTCGAGAATGGATCTTAGTCTTTTTCTGGGTCTGCCCAATGGTCTACTTATCGGTGCGCTTGCGGGTTTATCTACCGGTTTATCTATTTGTTTTTTCGGTGGTCTTCCTCGTTTCGCTTGTGAAGATTTCGTCGTCACACTGGAAGTGTCGTTGTTTACATCAGAATTGTCTTTACGTGTCTTTTTTAGCGTATCAATCAAAGGAGTGTCAGAATCGGAGCTTTGATTGCTAGTGATCGTAGTTTTACGTTTTCGACGTGACGAAATCGATTGTTTTGATTCTACGTCGGACGACACTATCGATTTCAATTCGTTCGTGCTCTCTGTGCTCTGACTCGATTTTCTCAATTTATACGATTGAGTCTTCTCGACGTCGCTCTTGTCGAGTTTTCGTTTGTTCTTTTGTTTCGCACTTCCGTTAACAACAGTGTTCTCCGACACGAGCGACTTGGACGACACGCTCGGACGACTACTCTCCGGTGAGGATCTATCTTCGTCCAGCGAACTCTCGTCCGATATAATGTACAATCTGTTACCGTCCTTGTCTCTTCGCACTTCGAATTCCTGACTCTTCTTGTTCGATTCTTCGTTCAGCACGTCCGTCAAAAAGACCGCGCAGAGTTTTGTTCCCGATGATCTTTGTTTCGACTTCAATGATCGTTGTCGCCTACCTCTGTCTTTACTCGGATCCATTGTGACCCAACATTTTTTACAAACCGTTAATCCCGTGCGATAAAATCTGTACATGTCGCTGCCGATTGGGACAACGTTCAAGCACTGTTGGCATTTTCGCACTTTCGGTCTGTTTTGTGCCTTGTTTCGCGTATTGCGGCTTTTGTTGTCGCGCGACTTACCGGGCGCCATTTCGTCGCTAGTTTCACTATCAGAAATCACTGAAGCGCAAAATGAAACATCTGGGAATGTGGTTACGGTTGTTTTGCGATTTACAATATCTGTATGGACCTGCAAAAAAAAAAAAAAAAAATTAAATTTAACTACTTCAAGAGAAAAACAAGAGTGCGTCTGATATATTTACAATTAGTCGAATGATTTAACACTGAAAGACAAACAATGTGTTGTCTTTAATTAAATGATATATTAATTATACAAATCTATGAGCGCACGTCACTGTGTGTGAGAAGCACACAAAATCTTGACACATTAAAATCAATCAACACTATTACCTTTGGAAAATGCGAATAATCAATTGCTCCATTAATTAGACTCTTCAAATTGGTAACCGTTTCGTGATGCACTCGCTTCAAATCGTACAAAACGTCCAAGTTATACCGACATGACAGACAAACTAATTTATCCTTGATCCTTTTGCTGAACTGTGAAAAAAAAAAATCCAATACTGAATGTTGTAAAGTCACGGTATTGCTTGTTTGTATAACAATTGGAACAAATAGATTCGAACTTACATCAACATTGAAAATGTTTCGAATCTTTTGTACGGCAGTGAATACCGGATGATACTCCCTGGTGACGTCGAAGATAAAATTATTTTCTATAACTTCCAAGCACAAACAGCACTTTGGTTTTTTGACCTCATTTTGGGACTGCGAGATCTCGTGTGATTTTCTGTACTTTTGCACAAATGTCGTACACTGTTCCAATTCGTACACACACTTGTAGCAGATCTTGTTGGATAACTCGGTGCTTTCGTCAATCTATAAAAATAAGAAACAACGCAAAGAGCTTAAGTCTCAATTTATAAAAAAAAACACAACGAGTTACAAGAAAAAACTTGAATCAATTTATGGAATCAAAATTGTTTCGCTTGTTAAATGTGTGTGAGATTGTTTCTTCTGAAACAAATGTGTGATCACAAATTTATCTCTGGAGAAGGTGACACAACAAGTGTTGATACCAACGGGACGGGAAGGATGTTGTTTCCTCAACAACAGACAATATAAACATATAACGTGACAAACTATGTTTACACGTAGTGTAAATATTACAAACTAATTCAAAATTAAACTCGTCTGCATTGTGTTATGCTGTAACTAATGTAAACATTGGAGTGTGATTGATAAGATTTTAATCACGTTGTTTACACTAATGTAATTAAATCTTCGAGCACGCACTAATGTCGCATAAAACAAATGCAAAATACAATTTAAGCGCGTATCTATATTCCGATGCGTAAAAATATCGCGTCGAACCCGAGTTTCGTGTGTGTGTATGTGTGTGTGTGCGTGCGTGCGCGAGGAGAGAGGAAACGCACGGATCGCACACGTCAATTCGCCTTTTGCCTGCGGGAAAAAAACATTCCGCCCGATCGAGAACCAACACCGTGAACCAACACCGAATGCATGATTTTGTGCGAACGCAATTTTGCAATTTTCACACTTAAGATGTTTAAAATAACCTGTTTTTGTTGATATTTTTACGGAGCGGTATCATTTACGGCGCATTTCAGAAGCTCCCCCAAACGCTTATGTTAAGCTTCTGTTACAACGCGGGTTGCTGCGGGCCTCGGTCGCGACGAGAGGTCGCGGAGTCACCAATCAGATTCAAGCAGCTTGCCGAATCAGCGGTTCAATCTACTTCACTCGCAACCGTGTTGTGCGCGCGTTGTGTTGCGACCGCGGAGCTTTTTAATGAGAGAAACGGCGGAAACGCGATGTGACTTCAACGCGCGACAATCGACGTCTCGCTTTTTTTCTCGAAAAATAATCGCCGCGTTCGGTGTTGCAAATCGCGGAGGCGTCGGGTGTTTTTTTTTGTTTTTTTTTTGTTAATACAAAAATTCATCAAATTCATTCCGATCGATTTGATCGGCTTTAACATCTCCGACGGTCTTCGATTTGCAATCCCGAACGCAGCTGGCGCAGGCGCACGAGCGACCGCGATACACAGAGAGACAGATCGCGGGCGCAACACACACGCACACACACACACGCGCGCGCGCGCGCGAGCTTCTGGCTTTGTGTCGACCGAGGCATCGACGAGCTTGTTTATCACCTTTCGGTACGCGCTATGGTTCCGAAGCTCGAACGAAAAGCCGAATCCTAATGAATCCTCGTCACGTTGTCGCAACCGAACCATCCGACGATATAGAATTATCCAAATTATCGAGAGAGAGAGAGAGTACTTGGGTAGGAACCTCGCGTCGAGTAGGTTTGTACCCTCAATGATCGCACGTCACAGAGGATACGCACACTCGAGAATTTGCGCAATTACATACATAATGCACACACACACACGTAAGACGCGTAACTGCGCGTACTGCGTTTTGACAAAAATGTCAAAAATACGAGCGCGCGAGACGATCACGTCACAATTGTTTCTTGTGTTGTTCGAATTCGCACGTTCCGCGAGACCGAAGGATCTTTGAAAATTTATCGCTTGTCAACCGAAGTTTGCAAACAACACACTCGTTCGATTCTAACCTAACCTAACCCTAAACCGTTCTTCCGCGGAGTAGTCGAAGGCGATATTCGACTTTCCGTCCGCGATATACGGGTCGGGAGAGATCCACAATCTCGCGAGACTTACCCTCGCTGACAAGCAAGTAACGAGTTGCTCGTCAAATGTGTCTCTGTTTTCCGGCGTGACGTCCAGAAAGATGCTCTTGTCGCTGGCGCACACAAAACAATAATTGCCAGGCATCACGACAGCGCTGTCCGGTCTGATCATCTGGGTGACGGGTTGTTGAATTCGCGGGGTGATTTCACTGGCACTCTCCGTGTACGGATTTTATGTATCTCTTGCAAAGATTTTGTGTACAAAAAAAAACCCGAGGATGAATTAAGAAAGAGAAACGCTCGCGTACATGTATGCACACACCTGAGACAGCCGGACGAATTGGCGGTAATCTTACGGGCAACATGGCGGGCTGAATGTTATCGACGCGATATATCGATAAACCGCCGCGAGCGGACACAGATCGATATTCGCGATATCCAGGGGATCGATTGTATATTTGTGCAAAGTAGTTAAAATTACAAAAGTGAGAAAATTTACTAGTTGTCAACTAACAAAATCACAGATATTTTAGTAAATTCGCTCAGTTTTTGTAATTTTCACTACACCGCGTGATACAGAGTCGACTCCCAGATCGCGATTGAGACTCTTGCGGATTCGATATTCTCGCACGCGAGAGATCTCTTTCATCTTGATGTGTTCTGGGTCGTTTTTTTTTTTTTTCTATTTTTACAAAAACCTGCGGCCCGTTCAAAGACAAAAAACAACGAGACGCAAGATTTCGACTAGCACATTTTATTTTCCTGGAAATAAATAAATTGACAACAGAGTTAACTGGACAACACAGAGTCCAGATTCTTTATTGCCGATTTGTTTATTTCAATCTCTTCTTGGTTTCATCCGAAATATCGTGTCTCGGCGATATTTTTTTTTTTTTTTTTTTTCATTTTCTTTAAGAGCAGCGAGAGAGACGTTTCAGACGCTGGATTCGTAAACAACGATCTGCACGATCGGTTTTTTGGGCGGCGGTGCGGACCTGGCGATGTCGCGTAGCATCGCTTCAATCGCTTCTTCCCAATCGCGATCCTTCGGTACTCCGTCCCGATCGACGGACGCGGACCACCTCAAGCGCGGCATCGATATGACCGTCAGTACTTTCCTAAAAAAAAAAAAAAAAAAAAAAAAGAAATTAGCGAAGTTATTGATTAAAAAAATATTCAGAACGACTTGGGGAAACGTTGGAAGCGTTGACGTACCTCAAATCCGAATGCAATGCGGACATGTCGTCGCCCGCTTGCTCGCCGAGTTTTCTGAGAGCTTCGGCCAACGGACCGCTCAGTCGTTGCAGCCTCCTCCACGACTGGGCGTATTGTCGTCTGACCAGTTCGATTATGGTTCCGGTCAGCGCCAGACCGACCAGGATGTACAGCGTACACAACAATGTGTACTTGGGCTTCTCTGGGTGAGAGGACAAAGAGATCACATAGTAGCAGATCAAATCAAATTGCAATAAATAAAATAATAAAGAAAAAATATACGCGAAGGTTTTTTAATTTATTTTACAATTTTTTAACCAACAGAATCTCAATGTTTACTCGGCACGAGGTCACCGAAGCCGATGGTGGTCATGGTCACGAAGCAGAAGTAGAACCCGTCGAAGAAATCCCAGTCGTCCTCCCACAGCATGAACATGCCGGCGCCGCAAGCGAGGTACAGAAAGAGCAGCGCGATGGCGGCGCACGCACCTGTGAGAAAAAATGTTTTCGAACTCATTCAAAATCGACTTTTAAATAAAAAAAAAAAAAAAACAACTCACCGAGCGATCGTCGGCCGGTTACGTTCGTCGGAATGCACGAGAGTCTGGCGCGAAACGGAAGCTTCGACTTCGCCACGAGCGCGATATGCACCACAACCTCAGCGAACAGTTTTCCCAGATCAGCGATCACGATGAGGGTGAGGGGTATGCCGACGAAAGCGAAGAGGATGCAGAAGATCTTTCCCAGGTTGGTGGAGGGCACGACGTTTCCATATCCTGTCGAACGGCAAGTGGTCGCAAATTCAAGCGACAGGAAAAAAAATAATAGAAGATTCCTTCGCGCGAGCAAAGAGCCCAATTGTTTCAATATATTTTATCAGAACCGACCGATCGTGGTGAGGACGGTGCTGGCGAAAAAAATCGCTTGGAGAACGCTCCACCTCTCGGTCACGACGGGCGGTAGGTTCGTCGATTCGGCCCGATCGTTCTGAACGATGATGTCCGCGACGAAACTAACTAAAAGACCCGCTTCCGCCGCCTCCTGAACCGCTTCCTCGTAGTCGCGTAGCTCCACGCTCACCTGGAAATTCGTTCAGAATCAGATCTTCAAAAGCTAATAACGAACGAAAAAAAGCGACTATACAATTGTGATCACCAAGTTCTCACCAAAGTTCGCAAATTGGAGACGTCCGTGTTGTTGAAGACGGACTCGACAAAACGGTATCGTTGCGCGCGTAATTTCGCACGCAAACGCTCGAGCCGCTCGAGCTCCGCCGGAAGTTCAATCTGCCGGAAGACCTGAGAAAGCGCGTTTTTAAAATTTTATGCATTTTAACGAGACACACAATCCCGCTTCGATCAACGTTACACGAGGTAGAAATTTGACATTTTTTCTGTGTTTTTTAGATCTGTTATTTCATACATATATATATATAAAACGTTACATCGGTTTTTATAAATAACATTTTAGTGATTAATCCAATGGATTTATCGCACGCGCTATGCGTCGAGCTTTCAAGTGCTACTCCGGATTGTGATGCGCGACGCGTAATATTTGTCCGATATCTGCGTATTTGTTCAGTTAATGCGCGTCCGCGTCCTGTTTGCTAAATCGTTGATGCTGTTTATCCGGTGACGATCGGTCGTCGATCACTTGCCGTCATCGGTCGATGCGCGTAGTAATTGTTTTTTTTTATTTTTATTTATCATTATCGCAAACGTACGAGAGTAATGTGAAAAAACACACCCTCGCAATAGAACAAAAAAAATTCACTTTGTTGCTTCGAGAAGTGGAGAGAGTTCATTAAGAGACGCGCGGCAAGTCTTGGGATATACACGCGCGGCTATTTTTAAGGACTATTTTCGTGTTATAGCGCACTCAAAAACTCGTAACTATCGAGAATTTTCAACGCGCGATATTTTTACCCATTGAATGGCAGATCGGTAGTAAATGTACCGTTCGATTAGTCCGTTCGCTAAAAATAAAAGGTAATACGATTCTCAGGGGAGAGAAGTTCCGTTCGTTATTGCACAGAGAGAATGTAAATATTTATGAAACACGCATTTAAACTTTATCCCTGGAAATCGTCATGTTGAAACCCGAACGAAAATACGAGCGCGCGCGCGCATTTACGGGAATATAATCGCGCCTTGCACTTCGCTTCTTTGTCCGGTTCCGCGCACTCGGTGTGTCTTATGTAATCCGACGAGATTTTCTCCAAAAAAAATCGAGCAGAATCTCAAATACCGCGTATTTCTAGTCGTTAGGTCGATTAGACCTAAAAAAACAAAAAAAACAAATTGCAATTAGTGAGTTGCGCCTCTCGAAATCAGAACGAAATCATTTCCAACGACTTCGATAACGAAGAAGATGGACCAATCGAAATCGTCAGAATTTTCGTAAATCAATTATCATCCTCCAAATCGGAGATCTTTTACCAACAAAAAACTCGTCACCTTTTCACGGCTTGTTTTTTTTGTTTCCAGTGTTTTTCTTATTCGGATAATAAAAATGTGTCTTCGGTTCTCTTTGTTTCATTCCGAAACTCACCAATCCTCCGATCGCGGTATAGAGCATCAGAGCGATTAGAAGGCCGACGTGTCCGGCGATCGACTTGGCCTTTCGCATCGTCTCCTCCTTGAAGAACTGTTGTTTGACATCCTTGTCGCCGCAATCCGCGACGGACGAGGAGATGCATTTGGCGCCGTTCGTCATAACGTTCGCGACCGTCTCGCTTTTCCACGAACGACGCAAACGCGCCGACCACTCGGAGAAGACTGTTCAATTGACTCCGCGATCTCCGAGAAGAAAGTCGTTCGGAATTTTTCACTGCATCGCGTTGGTGCGTTAATGCACACGCGTATAACGCGCTTTTTGTCAGAAATCACGCCGCATTGTAAAAAAAAAAAAAGTCGAGAAAAGAAGAAATTTCTGTTTGAAGGATCGGTCGAAAAAATGGTCGACCTCGTAGGAAAAGAAAATTGTTTTGCAATATTGTGTGTTTTGAGGAAATAAAAAGTTGATTGTTTCTCTGGGAAAAAGAGAGAGTAGTGAGAACGAGCGTTTATGCGTGTGTGTGTGTGTGTGTGTGTGAGTGACTTGAGTTTTATATATAAATAAGAATTTATTATAATCACATAATTATCCTTGCACGAATGGAGTCTCTTGTAAGAGTTACAGCGTCTCTCTCACTGATTCTTGTTATCGACAACTTGCCGGACTTGTTTTGCACGCGCGGACGCAAATTTGGTAGCTTCACCGAGTGCTTTTTCCACGAGTATCTGAAAATCCCTCGGCGATTCCACAGCTTTCATACTTGCAACCAACATCGGTTTGAATCCTTTGATCGGTCCGTGCTTCGCGTTGAAGATCCGAAGAACAATATCCATCCAGATCTGCGCGTTGAATTCGCTCGAGGCAATTTCCTACGAGCGTTGGTATTGTTGTTTGTAATTGATTTGTTAAATTGTGTTACACGCGCGCGTACGTACCTGCGGCACGGAACATCTTGCTCTCACGAATTGATCGGTGGCACACAGAATTAATATCGGCGTCTCGGGAAAAAGAGATACAATTTCGTGCAGCGACATATAGGTGGGATTCTTGTCCAGCCAGTGCACAATAAAACCGGATGACGAATTAGCGGCAGTATTAGCGATGTCATTAACTATAGAAGCTCTATGAAAAAAAAAGATTCATTGTGAAAATGTTTTTTGTCGAATTTACAAGTGGAATCTCAACTTTCTAACAACACAAGAGATAATTTACATACTTTTCCGTTTCTTTTTCTCGTACCCTCGCCGCTTTGTTCATAGCGTCCAAGTGCGTCAGGTACTTCTCCTTAATCGTGCAAGGTAATGGTATCTCCGCGTTCTCGTTCCTGATCTCTTCCTTCATTCGACTTATTTCCGCGTCCAAGAACTCGTACGTTATCTTGCCATTTCGCGACATATCTTCCAGCTCCGCAATTCTGTTCCACACCTTGTCACTGGCTCGTTTCATGCGTACAGCCTTTGGTCCAACAACGGCATTGACCGTGTATCTTGTAGCTCCCTTCAAGGTACACGTCGAAACCCAAAACTGTTGCAACACTCCCGTATTGTGAACGTGCGTACCGCAACATGGTTCTCTGCAAACACACAATATGTTAATTTACATTGTCGAGTTAAACAAAAATGCATTTAGTATCTGAAATTCGGATTTAACTAACTTCGCCTGCAAATCATCAGAGTTAATTTCTATGACTCTGATGCCCGTGTAAGGATATAGTTCCCCAGGCAGTAACGTAACGTTATCTTGATTTAACAGCTCGAGCGAATTTAAATTTCGTACAGTTACCGCGGCTTGAGATTGTATGACGTTATTAATGCGATCTTCTATCGTTCTTATTTCTTTCGTTGCAAATTGTTGACCGAACGAATTGAAGATCAATTTCAAACTGTCCGAGTTCACCGCGCACCCACGTTGATAAGCCGCTTCCGTAACTTGTTTTACGGCCGCGTTCAACAAATGTGCCGCTGTGTGATGTTTCATAGCTCCAACGCGCGAATTTGGTTCTATGGTTACTGAGCAATCGTCTTCCAGTTGCAACCGCAGTTCTGACGTCCTAAAAATTGTACAGATTATTGCTCCAGATGTTTATAAATTGATTATTTACAAATTTCCGTATACGCAATCATTTTTGAAGTTGTGCAATTGTGTAAAATATACAAACTACACTTACGGTACATCTGTTTTGACAAAACGTCCACAATGTATCACATAGCCGTCAACTTTTCTGACACTGTCTACAATGAAATGCAAATTCCTGATACAAATATTCCCTTTGTCCGAAACTTGACCACCTTCTAACGAGTAACATATCGTCCTGTCCAGTATAATACCGATGTCATCCGTACTATTCAATATCTCGCCAACGTCCAAGGACGTTGCGTCATCAAGTTTTGTAACATTGATATTATTTTTACTTGCAATTATTTTTCCTGTAATATATAATAAAAAAAGCGTTACTATGATCCGTTAGAAATACGCAAAATAGATTTGATCTGACATTACCGTTAAAAATGATGCCAACAAGTTTGCTGTTGAGCGTTGGGAATTCATAGTCATTTCCGTCGTACGTGTAATTGTACTTGAACGAATCGTCTGTCTTAGGTACGTTATTTTCTTTGAGTATTCTCAAGGATTCCTTAGTGAGCACGTTGCTATATCTGTCTAATCCTATTCTCATCTGATATCTGTGGTTATCAAGGTGCTTTTCGAAGTCGGTTTCGTCAAAATGCAACGATTCGATTTGCGCTAACTCTGTTATAGTTTCCGGATTCAGGCCGTACGTTTTGTACAGATTAAACGCGACTGTTCCGGGTAACGCATCGGTTTTACGCCTGTAAATAATATATTACATAAGTCACTAAATGTAGTAATAAGGAAGTTATATATAAAAAAACATTTTAAAAAACGATTTGTCCATTTAAAATGTTTTTAAAATGATTGTTAAGTATCTTACAAGTCTTTCATCATGGACTGTAGATATTTGTAGCCGTCTACTAAACCGGGAGCCATCCACTCAGTGACCGATGCCAGTTCGGGCCGAGTTTTCACCATGTTCTTCCACGTTTTACCGCAAGTATTTCGCAATCTCTTCAAGAGATCTTCCTCAAAGTTTATTATCCTTTGTACCTAACAAAAGGCTCTATTTACGTTAAAGATCATATTAAAAAAAAAAAAAGAATGAGAAAAATAAATTTTTCATTTGGATTTTTAAATCACTTGTTTTAAATTACTGTGCAATTCTGGATAAGCTGCGTTCAAGTTATCAGCCACATTGCGAGCAAGCTCGGCGACAATTCCACTTTTCTTGAAAATCTCTTCGCCTACGTCTATCGCGCTTCGTAATATTCTTCGCAGTTTTGGACTAAAAAAGCGTCATATGTTGTTTTCGCTATGCATTGCTTAAGTTTGTGTGATTTCTAAATAAACAATAAATAAAACACACACGTACTTTTGCTCGGGTAACATGTTATCAGCTAGCGCGACGGTTATCATTCTCGCATGATCCGCTAAGATCCTGTAGCCGTAGTCAATTTTGCCGACATCGTCATTGCCGTACGTTCCTCTGTATTCCGGCGCCTTCGAGTAATTTTGTATTGCTTTGAACAACGGCTGAAAAAGATCCGTATCGTAATTTGATCTTTTTCCTTGCAACAAAGTAACTAGTCGCTCGAGTCCCATGCCCGTGTCAACATGATGTTTTGGTAAAGGTACTATACATCCATTCGCAAGTCTGAAAAATCATAAAATATTACAGTGTATTGATCTGCGCGATCTTAATCAATAAAAAACGCAATTATATTATTAAACTACTATTGTACGCGAATTTACCTTTCGTATTGTATAAAAACTATATTCCACAACTCCATAAGATCGTCATGTCCTTTATTCACTCGATCAGCTTGATTGGAAGATCGTTTTACATAGTCCACGTGTATTTCTGTGCAAGGTCCGCAAGGTCCCGACGCACCCATTTCCCAAAAATTGTCTCGCATATCAAAAGGTAGAATTTTGCATTCTGAAAGACCCAGTCTCAGCCAGATATCTTTGCACTCGAGATCCGGAGCCAGGCCTAGTTCTTCATTACCACCAAAATATGTTACGTACAGATATTCCTTGGGTATATTGTACACATTTGTCAGAAGATTCCAGGCATATGAGCAAGCCTCTTCCTAAAATATGAAATTGTTGAAATAACACAACAACAAGCATAGCAAAATGGCACAACAATAATTTTCTTTGCACACCTTGAAATAATCTCCAAACGACCAGTTTCCAAGCATTTCAAAAAACGTGTGATGATAACTGTCATTACCAACAACACTTAGATCGTTGTGTTTTCCACCCACCCTGACACACTTTTGCGAGTTTGTAACTTTTGTTGCGGGTGGCTCGTAATAATCTAAGAAAATCCCCTTGAACTTAAGAACGAAACGTGTGAGAAACAATAATTCATCGATCATCTGATACAACAAAAATGTCATTTATTAAAACGTACTTGATTCATGCCGGCGTTGACAAACGCAAGAGACCGATCGTTAACCGGCGATACAGGACTAGAACGAATGACATTGTGCTTCAGGTCGGTAAAATAATCTATAAATTCTTTTCTAATCAGATTAGCCGATTTGTTTGCGAACCGACCGTTTGTGTACGAACGTGTTAAATTCAAAAAAATCATTCTCTTTGTTACGGGACCGGTTCTCGCCCACAGATGATGCATCATGCGAATTAAATTCCAACTCTGGGACAATCTTCGACTACGTAACAATCACAGGTGCGAGAACACCTTATGTTTTTTATTTTTATTAAGTCCGACTCACACTGCGAATTGGAATTGGATTTAAAAAATTTGACCAATCAGAATAGAGAAAGGCAATCTTGAGTTTAGCGAACTTCCATGGAACTTCGCTCGGATCGCTCGGAACGCTGATCCGTGATTGGTTGGTTTGCCTTCAAGATCTGACGACTAAAATTTTGCTCAACAACCGTGAGAATTGCGACGCTTGCGCAGAACAACGACCAATCAAATGTGTGCGGAAATTATCCCGTCGTCTCGTACCGCGAAGGCGGTATCAACTTCCCTCGTCGTCGCGCTTCGCAACCCGGTAATTCGGTATTCCCACATCCATGGTCGCGACGGCGCGCGACCTATCGACATCGGCAACGAACAGCGTTAGTGCATCGCACACGCAACGTATCGTCCGCGCGCGTCGACATCGTCGCACCGATCGTTGCACGTTTCGCGCGACGATGTCAATCAGATCGGCCGGTGAGCGATGACACGCCCGTTGTTGTCGTGTTGTCGGCGCGCATAAAGCGAAGAACTCGTTGCCACGAGCGAAACGTCATCCCCTTTCGCGAGAACAATCATAGAGAGAGAGAGAGAGAGAGAGCCAATCTGCGACGGGGCCGAGAGTCGTGTCTCTACGCGCTGTTGCACACTTGCATGTGCGGTCGCCGCGCATTTTTTGTCGTCGCGTCGAGACGTCGCCGCGGAAACACCGAGCGAGGTGAAAGGTGAGAGAAAGAGCGAGAGAGTGGGAGAGAGAGAGAGAGAGAAAGAGAGAGAGAGAGAGACAAAGACGGCGCGACTCTGGTGTCGCGATATTCCGCGAGGGTAGAGGAAAGTTTTGTAAGAGAGGAGACGAGGAGAGAGTCAAGCGGCACGTCGTCGACGCCCCTCCGTTTCGCGTTGACATTGACCGATTCGGAGTAAAAGAAAAGAAAAAAAACGCATCTCGACTCGCGAAGTGACACACGATCGCGCTCAGAATGCACCCGTCATCCGCGACGTCTGTTTATACGCGCGTCGTCACTCGATAAGATTCACGCCCGGGAAGGATTTTGTTTGTCGCATCACAGTCCGCCGCGTCTGGACGAACCTCCTCCTCCTCCTCCTCCTCCTCCGTCGTCGTCGTCCCGAACGTGCGTCGATTCGCAATCGCACGCCTCCGCGCCGCGGAGTTGGCGTGTTTACTTTCGTGGATCGTCATCTGTGCGCCGAATGTGACACACGTTTTAAAGGACGAAATCCGTCGCGCGAGAGACGCGATCGCATTTAGAGCCGGTTGCGACAATGTCGTTTTTTAGGTGCGCAACGATGTGCCAAATTTAATTCTCTTTCGGAGAGCGGGAGAGAGAGAGAGAGAGACGGAGAGAATCTTATTTTCTCGCGCTCTTGCGAAGAACCTCCTCCTCGAGTTATGACACAGATAAAGCACACGGCCTCGCAAACGAGAGCAAGAAACAGCTAACTGGAGTTTAATTAGCGCGTGCACGTCGATGTGACTGGCTATCTTTGTAATCTTTTGGGCTTTGTGTGTTTACGCGCGGGGAGATATCTTCGCGAGATTTTTTTCTCTCCGCTTTACGAAGAGTTGTGTGGATCTTGTGTTTTGTGCGAGAAAAAAAAACGCGCGGTAAGAATTTGTGTACACAAACGACATTTGCAAAATCTATTGTTGTCTGTGTAAAACTCGCGCTATTAATACGAGCCTGTGTATGTGTGTGTGTGTGTGTGTATGTGTATGTGTGTTTCGCATTGATACCGCATGCTGGATATTGCCCGCGGACTGTCACTTCGGATTCGCGTGACAAGGTCCGCGTCGCGCTCTTTCTCTCTCTCTCTCTCTCTCTCTCTCTCTCTGTCGCGCGACAAGGAAACGAAGTTCAGGTGACTAGACTTTGCTTGTGAAAAATTTCTTCTATATGTCACCTACCTACCGCGGGTAGAAGAGCCTAGAACGCACGTTGCGCGCGAACGCACGGTTTTACAGTTCGTTGTTGTGACGCGCCGTGTTCGCTCGGGTGTGTTACCTGTCCCCCCTCCCCCCCCCGTCCCGTGTGGTTGCGTTACGCGTAAGTATGACAGTTTCTTTTTTTTTTTTTTTTTCTCGCGAAATTACACATCCCGTCGGCTGCCGTTTTAAAATCGTATTACCGAGACTTTCTCTTCGACACGTGATACGACACAGGTTTGACGTCCTTTCGTTTTCGAACCACCGACCGAAAACGTGTGACAAAATTTTCTTAAAATCGGTTTTCCGATTCTATCCGTTCGTGAAATAAAACTTTCCGCTATTGTTGCCGTTCCCGCACACTTTTGCGAAGGATGTTGAAGTAGGATTTTTTTTGTTTTGCTATCGATTTCAGAAATTTCTCCGGAGATAAATTTCGATTTATTCTTCTTTGAGAATTTGGAATTGCCGTGTTTTTTTTTTTTTTTTTAGCAACTTTGTTTCGCCCGACGCGAAATCGCATCGCGGTGCGCGCACACGTAGCGAATTTCGCATCATTTGGTGGACTATGCTCCTCCTCGGCGTGCATGTCATGTCATTCATTACGCATCCTTAGTTCCAGATCAACATTGGCAGTCCGCAGTTATGATAATAGCAATGAATCACCAGTTAAGAAATTGAATTGAAAGTGATACGTAGAATTGAGAAAAAAAGGCTCGTGCGAGTGTTTTGTTTTTTTTTTGTTGTATTTTTTTTGTCAACAACAACAGAGAAAAAAAAATAGACCGAAATATTTTCGACGATTTTACTTTTTTTGATTTTTGTATTTACTTTATCGAACTTTACAGGAGGCGGGTGTGTGCATGTAAATATATACATGTACAAATACGTATGCAAATACGAGAATTAATTTTTTTTAAACGTAGTTTTATTAAAAATTCTTTGGAGAAGAGTCTTGCATCTTGTTCCGAGTCCGATACATGCGCTTTCGTATATTTTTACAGAAATTTATCACTGTACATGTTCGATGCAATCAAAGTGATTTTATTGTAATTGTGTGTGTGTGTGTGTGTGTAACACTTGGATGAATCCCTCTTTATATGTGACATCCTATATTCTAAATTTAGATTCAGTCAGTGCTCAATGTATATTTAAAGTATAAATTAGATAATGTGTGTAACCTCTTAGAGAAAATTACTGCCCACGATAGATTACGTGAGGATCCTAACAGTGGGATGTTGTTCTGCAACTTATCGTGTTTTGTTTCGTTTGATTGACAATAGAGCAAATGAAGAAGGAAACGATATTAACGCGCGCGCGCGCGCGCTCGCTCGCTCGCGAACACACGTGTAGAGAATAATTTGCACGTAGTGTTTGATAATAATGTATTAATAGTAAGCAAAAATTTATTTATGCTTTAAGTAAGAAATATAGAAAAGTGTATGAAAAAATGTACTGGAATAAAAAATTGTACCGAAGAGGAAACTGATTCATCGGCTTGTTTTTCCTGAGAAAAAGCCTGTGTGAATCATGATAACTGCTACTGAGATAAAGCATTATCGCAAAGATATACTAGAATACCAGGAAATATAATATAAAATATATATATATATATATGACAAAGCTTATGAGCGCATACGTGATATGAATTATTTAATCTATGATATTAAAGAGGCTCGTGATCCAACTTTTCATCTATTGTTACAATATCTGTTCCCTTTATCGAGTAAGGTGGAAAAGAAACTTTATTATCTCTTATCATTTTTGCCGGTTTAAAATAATTCACTATATCGACATTCACAGTAGATATGGCAGTAGGATTTATTTTGGAATATAAAACAAATCCAATTACACTGAACGGGAATAATCAGCATCATCCGCTTTTTCACAACAATCTTGTAATGATGATTGCGATTTGTTATGCACAGGTTCGATGTGAACTCGCTGAAACGAAATAATAAATGACAACCAATTTTAAAGAGAAGTTATGGCAAGCTTGATGGTGAACACTTCCAGTAAAAACAGCTCACGCAGTGGTTCTCCTAGTAGAGCAACGTCAACGTCTCAACTTCATCAGCAACAGACAACGGCAAGCGTGGATCATACTCCAAGACTGCGTAATGTTTCAATGTGAGAAAATCGTGTATATACGTACGTGAAAATGAAGTAATGTGTGAACAAATATATGAAAATAAAATTTGCCAAATGTTCATTTAGTTCTCAAGCCGGCGAGGGTAGCACAGGCAGTGGAAGTAGTGGTGGTGGCGGCGGTGGTGGCGGTGGCGGAAGCAGTCTCAACATGAAGGGAAGCGGTAGACAAAGATCGCCCGGCAATTTAATGCGCATGGGAGATGCCATGGATGAACCAAGTAATACTTCAAACACTGCCGAGCCAGATGAGTTTGTGCCAAATATTCATCCACCGACTGATGATGAAGGAGTACGTATTTAACATCCCGTTATAAAGATCAATCTTGAATATCTCTCGGTTCTATTAATAAAAGTATATACTTTGTACTAAGACAATACGATCTGAGAGAACGTATACAAGGATCAGAGACATACGGGAAAAAAATCTTTCTCATCACAAACGCACTTATCAAGTCTATATCCTTGCGTTCTTACATAAAGAGATAGTTACGTAATATATTACCACGTTGTATATAAGTATTAATTAAAAAAGACTGCAATCTTATCAACTACCGTTGCAACATGCAGCCGGCTTGTGACTAGTTCAGCTATTTGCATAAATGTTCGAGCACACAAGTAAATCGACTTTGAACTTATTTAAAACTCAAAACGAATTGCAAACTTTGTTGTGTTTTCTCTATAACAAAATTCTTAATGCGGAATAAATTTGCGTACGTGGGCAAAAGTGCGCAAAATACATAATTTTACATTTGATACTAATACAGTCTCGTGTGTGCTAGTTGTTTATACGTACGCGTCTTTGAAAATAATATTGAAGTACATGATGCGTACGCAGGAACAATACACAACTCAATCGTTCGTCTACACGACTCAATCGTTCCTATCAAATGGTTCTTCTGAATTGATAAGCGACGATGTTGACTCCAGCGCGACACGAGTTCGTCAAGCTATCGAACACATTCAAAGTAAAATCGCAAAGACGAAAGAACAAATAAGAATAGAACAAACTACTCGCGATGGTACGTATATATAACTGGATTTTAACTAACTAATTACGTATTCGCGTAAATATATGATTACGAAAGTTACTTGTTATCAATCGTACGTTATTATTCTGTGTGTTATTTTTGTTTTAGAAAACGTCAATGAATATTTAAAACTGGCCGCTAACGCGGACAAGCAACAGTTAACTAGGATTAAAACGGTGTTCGAGAAAAAGAATCAAAAATCAGCGCACAGTATTTCACAGCTACAAAAGAAGTTAGATAGCTATACGAAAAAATTAAAAAATTACGAGATGAACGGCGCGCCGACGAGTCACAGACAACCGAGAGAGATGTTGAGAGATATGGGACAAGGACTCAAGTAGGTTGTTAAGAAAAAAGTGTTTTTTTTTTTTTTTTTTTTTTTTCCATCTCATTACACGCGATTCAAGAAAAATTATTTATAATTTTCTCGATATAAGTTACTGTACGTTAGTGGATAAACAATGTGAAAGAGTAATAACTCCACGGCTAATTTTGGACTTGTATTTCAGAAATGTGGGGGGAAACATCAGGGATGGAATCACTGGTTTTTCAGGGTTAGTGTTCATACGAAAATAGATCCAATGCCTAAATAAGCCTAAATCCTATTCTCATACGGTTGATTCACCACTTGAGGTCTTCTTAGATTTAGTATTTTTTTTTTTTTTTTTTTAACTTAAAGTTTAACATTCTTTCTTTCTCTTTCTCTTACTCTCATTTGACAATTTAAAAAAACAAATTTATTTGTCACACAAGATTATTTATTTGTAATTTATTTTATTGCAGAACTGTAATGTCTAAACCGAGGGAATTTGCTCATCTTATCAAAAACAAATTTGGAAGTGCTGATAATATAAATACACTGTCACGTAAGTAACAATGAATCTTCAGCAAAATTTAAAGATATATAAAAGATATAATATTGCAATATACATACATATAATTAAATTTTTACATACATAAAGTGTATATATATAAATATATAATATGTATACATATACGTACATGTATATTTATTATATATATATATATATATATATACATATATGTGCCGTCAAAATACAAAACTCGTCAGAATCTGACTTTACTAGACAACTTCTAACAAAACACTTTCGTTAACACTTATGTCTTAACATATTCAAGTATAAAGAGTTAAAACTTTTCTGATTAAATACATTTTTGAAAGTAATATACGACATACGTATTATTTAATTATATTAAAATATCATTCTCGTATGAAATCCGTTGCTATTTGTTTAAGTGTAAAACAAAAACATGTGTAAAAATAAGAGAATAAATATTCTTTAACATTTTTGCTATCATGGCAGTTGAGAGTAGTAAGTAATGTGTTGTCCAAAGAGCAAGTCATTTCTGTTACACTTTTATTACAAGCTTCGTGCACAGTGTTTATGTATTTTTTTAGCTGCTTTGAGCTTTTTATTTTCTTTATGAAGCAGATAAATAATAATACGATTGGTGTACATCGTTGTCCTCAAAGATTAATATTAAAACTTATCTTGCGCATTTTTTAATTTTTGCTTCTTAAATTTTTATTCCTTTTGATATAAATCTGGTTGTGTTTTCTAAGTTGCATATCGTTAAAGATTTTCGTGGCGATTTATTATGTGATTCTGCAGTGGCTTTTTATAAATTACGCATTAGCTTTTATTTTTGTGGTCAGTTATCCAATACTCGTAATAAAATATACATATATTAATATAATATTATGTAAAATGACTTTATTTTGTCTACAAAACCCGGTTGTACTCAAATCAAACATTTTCACCACAAGAAAGAAAACTTGCTTTTTTGATTGTTATAATAAAAACAAAGAAGTGTTAACCGTTTAAGAAAAACACAATATCTATAACGACGATAAATTTCTTCAAAAGGCCGAGCATTGGTATTGGATAACGTTCTAACTTGCCACCTCTGTGTCTCTACAGATGGCTCGACTTTTTATGTAAACGATACAACGCATGCAGGTAATGGTGATAACGCTAGCGTTGAAGACGCTGATAAAACTCATCACGGATCGGCTACACTCCCAGGCGGATGCAGCCTAGGATCTACCCAGAGCGCGGCGGCTATGAAGTTCCCGTCTGAAGAGGGCTCGGAATGTTCTAGCGTGACCAGCGAAAGCGGCCCTGGTAGTCGGGGACAGCCACACGCGTGTCACAGTAATAACGCAGTCATGAGTCTAAAATCGATTTTCGCAGAACTGCAGGAACACCGAGAAAACCTCGACCGAATGAGAGAGAAGTTAGATAGCGTAAAGGTGTGTTATTTATTTTTTTCTTTGTAAACATGCGATAAAAATATGTGTACATATATATATATATATAGTCAATGTGTTTTCCCTTATTATAGACGTTACAGCAGGAAGTGACATATCTTTCCCACTCACTCCAAGAAGAACGCTTCAGATGCGAACGTTTAGAAGAACAGATCAATGACTTAACAGAATTGCATCAAAACGAAGTAGAAAATTTGAAGCAAACTATTACGGATATGGAGGAAAAAGTTCAATATCAAAGCGAGGATAGACTACGTGATATACACGAGATGTTAGAGAGTTGTCAGACCAAGATATGCAAAATGGAACATCAGCAACAACAACATCAACAATACGTGACGTTAGAGGGTCTCGACAACAGCAATGCGAGAGCATTGGCAGTAAAATTGATAAATGTACTATTAACAGTATTGCAAGTTATTTTGCTCCTTGTTGCGACAGGTGCTGGTATTATGATGCCTTTTCTCAGAACTAGGTGAGATTATTATTAAAATAATTCTTTTTTTTTATATTCTTATATATAAATATTTTATTATAATTATAATTATTACTGTGTTCTTATAAACGTTTCACTTTTATCGAATAACATTACAATTATTATAATTATTACTTTCTCCATGATTGTTTTGCTTTTGTTAATTTCTTCTCATATTCATATATTTATAATTTGATCACTCATTCGAATTTATTTTACGCATCTTTTATTCTATTTTTGGTTTTCGCACATTTGTTACAGCTGTACTAAGCCTCATTGTTTCATGTGCAGGGTGCGTATATTAACAACAACGTTTGTTGTATTGGGTATAGTATTTGTGCTGAAACAATGGCCTGAGGTGCACGATGTCGGTAGCCACCTCATGCGCCATCTCAAACAGACTCTCGCCATGAAGTAGCACTGTAAGTGGACAACATTTTTATTTTTAGCAGTTTGACACTGCTTGTTTCTTACAATATGATATATAAATACAAAAGTGCTTCTAAACATGTCAAAGATCATCGACGATATTTCAAGAAAACGATATTTATTTTAGGGTGGAATACTTAAATTTAATTTTGTTCTCAAAACCCTGTGATGAAGTTGGGCTGCATTAAAAATTGATTAAAACTGCACCTGTTTGGTCAGTGTTGTAGCATTGGAGCAATAATAATAGTATGTATATGTGTAAATAACTTTATTTGTATCTTTGGGTTGTTTAAATTTATTATTATTATTATTATCATTATTATTATGTGTCATTATGTCATAAATTTATAAAAGAGATAAGTAATATGTATTTTTGATACTATTATTTAAATTGATACGACGCTGTTTTACTATATAGGAAAATACGTGATCAAATTTGTACAAATTTTTATTAATTTCGTAATTTATATCTTACATTTTGATTTGACAATCTTTAATTTTGACGATCACAGCAATCGCTATTTAATGTTGGACAAACGTAACGTTAAATATTTCGTCTGTGTTATGAAGTGTAAAAAAGTAATTCACATTGTATGTCACACAATTTACGTGATACGTAATCGTGAAAGTTTAATTTCTGTTTATTGACGTATCTGTGGTCGTTGTTTGTGTTCTGAGTGAATGCTTATACATACATATATACAAAAATAATGTGTAAAAAAAAAAAAAAAAAACAGTCGAATGAAAAAAAGAAAAAATGTTGTTTAAACAATGTGCACGTAAAACTCTTCAAACTCTTCACAACTGGTCCACTTAAATTTTTCGATGTACAAAAACACGATTTGTTCTGATATTCTACTCGAACGTATGTGCCGATAAGTGAAACCGAGAAAGAAATTGAAACATCGGAATCGTCCAATTGCTAAACAATAATGTAAATTAAGACGGAGTTCTTATATAGCTGCTGTTCGGGGCAATGTATAAAGAGGTAGCGCGTATATATATACATAATATAAGTCGTTTACTTGTTATTTATAAGAAATCGATAAGGATGCAAGTTCTAGAAAAATGTGCAAAAGCTTTTTTCAATTTCACTGTTGTACACTGTTGCGTAAAATAGGTAGTAAGCAAATTGAGTCACAATTGAAAAAAGTGAGTTTTTGTTGGAAGACAACTAAGGTTGAAAGATGTGTTAGTTTCGTGAAGAAAAATTTTGGATGCAAGACTTGCATATACATATAAAAATAATAAAAAGTTTCACGTACAACGCATGCACTGCTACATCTGGTATTAATAAAAGAGGACCAACCGTCTCTTTCCTCTTGCGCTATGATACGGTAATTTATATCGTGTTACGTACATTTTATCAAAATTTATGTGTACGAGAGAAAAGAAAAACATGAGAGGAACGATTTTCATTAGCCTAGAATGGGTGATCTAATTTGTAAACAAAACAACCGAGTATATATTACAACAAGCATAAAGAATTGAACCATGACAGAGTTAATCGAAATGAGAGAAAGACTGAAGGACTACACATTACGATATATATATATATATCTTTAATTTAATATATATCGGCGTGAATTTAATAATACACACATGCGCTAACATAATTTTAAGTTTTTAATATTGAAAATTTCCAGTAACCTTAAATACGATATAATGTGAGTTAATACAAATTTGTAGAAATATCGAGTATTTAGCACATATGTAGTAGAAAAAAAAACCAAAAAGTCACAAAACATTCAAAGAGCAAGACTTAGCATCTCGTATTTCCTCATCCGTATCGTCACCGTTTTAAGAAAATAGAGCATTGATATGACATATATTCACACACGTTATTTTACAATATACGCTTTTCTAATTTTTCATAATTAAAGTAGTCCGTGTATTAGCACTGCTGTTATTTTAATGCAATTGCAACATTGATATAATGTAAGATTAGACAGAAAAAAAGGGAAGAGACTTTATCCTATTTAAATAATTATATCGCGTTGTTTATATGTCTTGAGCACATAGAAATTTTAACGTTTATCTTTACACGCCACGTGTATTTACATATAGCTAAGAAAGAAAAACTTGATAAAATACAATAATTTGCAATATTCACCAGTTTGGTCGATTTAAATTTAACGCATGGTAAACATAACAGCGCAAAACTTTGAAAGATAATTAATAAACAAACAGTTCTGTCTACATCCTATGTATAAAAAAATATTATATACATATAAAATAATCAAATTTTTATTATATTTTTTCAGTAAGTTTTTGTTATATATATATGTATGTAATAATTCAGTGTAATATAATATATATATACATATATATATATATATATATATTATTTATATTAGAACATAGATGTGTGTTATGTTGACGGCATTATATATTCACACACACACACACACATATAACAGCAATTGATTTTTAAAGTCGTAATAAATACGATGAGAACATGTGGAATAATTGAGTAACAATTTATCAATAATGCAAAAGTGTGATAAAGTAATATTATGCTATTGCAGCTAAGAGATGTATATGAATTCGTCCCTGATCTCAAAGCAAATTCAAATTTAAATGTATATTTATCCTGATATCAGATGTGCACTTGTTTTTTCTTTACATCTGTGTAAATTTTCATATATATTATACATATATATATAAATACTGTTTGCGTAATAATATTGGTTTGAGCAATTCAACAACAGTCGGCTTCTTTCTCATGAAAAAATGGTGTATATTTTCAATATTGTTTGTCAAATGTTCCTAGTAAGTATGATACTTTTCAAATTACACAAATTGCTGTGATTTATACTAGGTTTATATTATATGTATATAAGCTTAATGTTTAAGAAGCAGCTTTGGGATCAATATTATCACAATATTAAAAAAAAAAAAAAGAAATATCGCAAGAAGCGTACATGTATATGTGCTGTGTATATATATATATATGTAGATTCGTAAAGACATACGATTTTGTTATACACTGTGCAACGCGCTTGGCGACAAATGAAGACATTTTTAACCCGAACATTTCAATCTCTCTTTCCTTCTGTTTTTTACTCCACAAAATTATATGTAAATTTAAAACGCGAGTGTGCAAGTCTACATCGCGTCACACATAATCACGAGTAGCGAAACTATATAGGGTGTTAAAACATATATATATATATATATATCGATATATATATACATGCATATATCGATGTACATATACAGCATTCCGTTAAATTTGTAAGTTTTATCTCTCTATATGTGACAATATGTATTTAGAAAAGAAAAAAAACTTTTTAAATAGTCTTTCGATTTCTACGGAGCGGAAATATCGAGACAAATAAAAAAAAAGTTTTACTTGTTTGTTGTATATCGTCCATTAGATAATACACACAAGACACCCTATATATTTGTAATTTTAGATTATGGTGCTTTGTAAATATATATACGTATTTAACACACCTTTAGAAAAAAAATTTGTTTACATATGATCGACCACCGATTATAGGGAGGGCCCCTGCGCACGCTTAAACAAAAATGTTGTTTTTTGTATTAAGCGATATATGTAGATGAAAAGAGAAACAGTATTATATAAAAAGCGCTGGTAGCGCTCTTCGAAATTCGTAAGGGAAGTTATTCAACAACGACAAATGTGTATTTTGTACTTTATTAAAACCGTCGCAATAAGTTTCGGTTTTTCTACTTGAAACAAAAAAAAAAAAGCCGTTTACAATTTTATATATATGTATTTCATATTCACGAAACTGTGTACCGTGTCGTATATGTGTATAGAAAAGTTATACGGTGTATAATTTTTGGTGTGATCATGTGTAGCAAAAGTTGTTGGAGATGGATAGATTTTTCGTCACTCTCGCAAGTTTAGGGGCCCCGTGTAGATATATATATATATACATATATATATATATATATATATATATAAATAGCGCGTAGAAAGACATACACAAGAGAGAACAGAGTTATCGAGTAAATAAATTATGTCATCGATGCCTTGCGTAGGTAGTTAATGTCAAATTATAGAATAAACATTCGTTGTCAATTGTAGAACGGTAAATAGGCAAAAAACAAAACCAAGCAGCAGTTATTGTATAAAGGTTGTTATCACGTACATTTATTGTGCATATATACATATATATATATATATATATATATATATATATATATATATATAACAACTGCATTCAACTGAGGGATATATTCACAAGAGTATATATATAATAAAAAGAATATTTTAAAAACTGAAACATACAAAACTATTTACATCCGTGTTTTTATATATCGATGTGTGTATAATTTATATATATATCCATACGTTTTATCAATAATAATGCTGCTGGTAAAACTGACATGCACGATCAGCACAAGCAGCTCGCGCGGAACTCGCATTATCAGAATAAATTATTTTAAATATTAATTTTTGCGAAAGCATACAATTCAATGCCGTGAATAAGAAAAATTTATTCAACTTAGATGCACGCAGAATTAATTATTACCACATTGATGTCGAGTTCTTTGTAATTTTCTTTCGAAAATATCGTCTAATGATCATGGTAATATTACATTGTCAAATTATACAAGCTCACGCAGCTGCAATTTTATATATACATATATATACATATACATATATACATATATATATATGTATATGTATATATATAAATTTATTTATATCACAATTTTCTATTTTAAGTGATGCAGAAAGCTGAATTTTAATTATTTAATTTTTTTCAGATATATACTGCATAAGAATATTTAATACATATAGTCTCCCATTCACTCTCTCATTCTCTCTCTTTCTCTCTCACTCTCTTGGATTTTTATTACAAAATTCTGAAAATATGATCGCAAAATCGCTACTCACTATTGTTTAATAGTAGAATAAGCGCATCAGCCTTTAGTTCAAATGTATGTTTTAACTTTTTTTTGTTTTTCTTGTTTCGGCTACTGCGTGTAAGAAAATATTATATTTTACTTTCTTCTCGTAACAATATCAACATCTTTTTTTGTGTGTGTGACACAAGTTCTATGTAAAGAAAAGTTTAATATCTGCAAATTATATATAAACGTATCTGTCGCGATATCGCGTGTGTACATGTTTAAAAACAAAAAGCTTTCGATAAAGCGCTTAAATTGTTGAACTAAAGTTGTCCGAACAACGAATTAAAAACTATCGCGAACAATTATGATAAAAATAAACTATTAAATGAAAGAACGTGTGTTAGATATAAAATACGCTCTTCATGACCAGGAAAAAAAACCAATTTAGAAATTTGTATAAAAAGAATTTTCACGTTGCCTGGAATTAACAACGATGTAATGAGAAAGAAAATCAAAATCTGACAGTTCTCAGGCGATTGACAAGTATCCGAAACAACGCATAGACAGCGACACAGTGTCACACTGCTGTGTTGTCACGTGACAAGTTTTTCATTTGACAGCTCGCCAAGGTAGCTCTCTGTTTTGACAACGCACCGACAGCTCACACTTCAACTGTTGCGATGGCCAAAAATTGTTCTTTTTTTTTTACACGTCGTTTCGGATACTTATCAATCGCCCCACACATTACGTCAAATCACCGTCGCGAATCTTTTTGATCTCGTGTCCTTTTCATATACTTACCGCGAGAACTTTTCTTGTAAAAATACGTTTATATAAAATCTAATGTACACACCGGTAAAGAGCACTATCGAGAGACGAAGTCGCGCTAAGTCGTATCTAAGTTTTGAATAGTTTTTTCTCCTCACACACATCGCGCGCGTACGTGTGTGTGTGTGTGTGCGCGCTGCTCGAAATCTTTCTATTTACATATTATTTTCGCTCGCGACTTCGATCTCCGCCGACTTAAGTCGCATCGTGTCGTCGTGTATCGTAGCGTCCGACGGGAGGACATTTTTTATCTCAGCTTGTTCGTTAAACGACACTTCGTCCTTTGGCGCGACGGTCGCGTTGATAACGTGATGCTTCTTTCTGTGACACGTCATGGTCGATCTGGACACGAACTCTTTGTTGCACAGGTCGCACTTGTACGGACGTTCGCCGGTGTGCAGGCGCTTGTGGATTGCCATCGGACTGAACTGCGTGAACGTTTTGCCGCACACGTCGCAGCTGTACGGACGCTCGCCCGTGTGAGAACGACGATGGCAGCGTAGCGCCGCGCGCCGAGCGAAGACCTTGCCGCAGATCTCGCACTTGAAACTCTTCTCGCCGGTGTGCATGGTCGAGTGAATCCTGAGATCGACTCGGGTCAGAAAGCCCTTGCCGCACACCTCGCACAGATACGGCTTCTCGCCCGTGTGAATGCGCAGGTGCGTGTTGAGATAACTCTTGCTGACGAACATCTTCTTGCACACCACGCACGGATACTGTCGATTGTCCGTGCCTGAGTGTATCTTCTGATGGCTCTTGCATAGGCCCTTGGTGATGAAACCGCGACCGCAGATCTCGCAGATGTACGGCTTCACGCCGAGGTGACGGTTCTCGTGGTCCAGCAACGACTGCTTCGTCTTGAAGTTCTGTCCGCACGTTGTGCACGGATACGGCTTCACATCCGAGTGCACTCTTTGGTGTACGATGAGATAGCTCTTGCATTGAAATCCCTTGCCGCACGTCGAGCAATTGTAATCGAACTGACCGGTGTGAGTGGCCGTGTGTTGCGCGAGACCGATCTTGCTGCGAAACGCCTTCTCGCACGTCGCGCACTGAAACGGCTTCTCGCCCGTGTGCTTGCGCATGTGTTCCTGCAGCTTGTAATTCGTCCTGTACTGCTTGCCGCACGCCATGCACACCTTCGCACTCCACTTTTGCCTCACCACCGGTTTCTTTTGCTCCGCTTGGCCGCCGTCGTCGGTCTTTTGTTGCGACGTCGCGTCCACCTGCGCGTTGTCTTCTTTCTTGTCGATCTGGGTCGTTTTACGCACGTCGCACTCTTCCTTGTGCAAATTCAACGCCTCGACGCTGGTGAAGTGCAGATCGCAGGGACAGGAGCGGAAGTGTTGCTCGAAATGAGCGGCCAGATTGGTCTTCTCCAGAGATGCTTCGTTGCAGAACGGACACACGTACCAGTGAGAACCTGTCTCGTCTACGGTGGGATTGTTGAGTATCGATTCCAACAGCGCGTGCTTTGCCATCTTCGAGTACTTGACCATTATTTTACAAGGCACATCTGTCATCTGACTTGTAGATGGAAAGTTGTTCAAGGGATGTTCGCCGGTTCCGTTTGCATTCATACAAGGCACTTCTATCTCGTTCTCCGCTTCGACCTGAGACGGAGCAAAATTATTCGTTGCCACCTGAGAATCAACAAATTTGAATTACAAACTTGAATCCCAAACACACCGTGAGTTTTTGTTTTTCATATTATATATACCCGTTTGTTTAAAAAAAAAACAATTTATACTTACATTGTTTTCAAGTACGTGTTGCGGCTCTTCCGCGATCAATCTATCCTGCAATCTATGATATTCCTCTTTTATTGGTCCTGTCTCATATTTGACACTGTCGCAGTAATGCACTATGTGCTCTTCGCTCTGATCCTCGGGACTCATAGAAGTGACATAGTTCATTCCGAGCTGGCTCAAATGACGATCCAAATTTCCCACCACAGATATGTCGTTCTCCAGATGTATCGCAATTTGATGATTTGAAACCTGTAACACATACGATTTGCAGTTTGCAAACCAGATCCCTGAGAAGAGAAAGATCCATGTTTTGTTCAAATAAAGATCAAATGGAACAATATATATTTTGCTTGTTTTTTTTTTTTTTTTTTTTTTTTTTTTTTTATCACAAAGTAGTTCAATTACTTCTTGCATGTGTTCGACCATTCTCACGGTATCGCCGTCCAAACAATCGATACCCGCGACTTGTATGTCCGCGTCCTGACTGATTTCTTCCTGAGTAACCACTTGTTCGCCACCGGCCAGATCCATTTCGTCCATCACCTGCATCGTATGTATGGTGGTGTCCGATGTTTCATGAGCTATAGCTGAATGATTTCTTACATCTTCGCTGTTAATCTGTATCGTGCTGATATTATTTACACCCGTCAAGTCGTAATCTGTCATATGAACAATATCTTCTTTACCAATTTCTTTCAACATTTTTATAAATATTTCTTCTGTTTCTAGACATTTTTCGCGGAAGTCAAACCACTGATCCAGCTTGGACGCGCATCCTTCGCATATCACTTTCGGCAGTTGGTCTGTCACAGATATCTGAAGTATATAAAAATCATTTACTGGTATTGATGTAAACAAGCTTATTTTTTTCTTTCGCAAACACGATATCAAGAAAAAAATCTGACTTTGAAACAAGAAATCATGCAAGATCTTTTTTTATTTCCTTTTGTTTATCTGTCTCTACAAACACAAAGACAACATTGCCTCATTGCTCTGAAAAAAAAAAAAAAAACAACTTTACCTGAACCGGCAAGCAGGCTGCTATTTTTTTATCAATGTTGCGCATCTGATCGCCGGTTTCGAAGATCGGCAAGCCCAGTATGAGGATGCCAGTCTTGGCTGCGCACAGACGGCACAAATAACTGAACTCCTCGACGACAGCCATATCGCCCAGGTGATCAGATAGTTTCCTTCGATGAACTGACTGAACTGACAAAAACAATCGGGGGGGAAAGAACTTCGTTTCAAAAAAACGTTTCTCTCAGAGAACGCGGCGGTGATCGCGACTAGTCGATTCCGTGACGCGCATTCCCCGCAACCTCGCAGCTCATCAAGATCCCGCGACAACGCGTGTCGCTTCAGGATAAAATTTTTATCAAACTAATCCGACTCGTATCATATCACTGGTATCGGTCGCGATCAGTCACGGAGCGTCCGAAGGGACAGTGGGGGGATATTACATACGGCCAGTTATAACATCGCGTTGTAACATGGACGAGAGAGAATCACCTTGATGATAAAAAGCTCCGCTACAAAGAAAATAAAACCGAAAGGTTTTTACGACTAACCTATATAAAACGTTCCTTCATTCGCGCTCGCTAATTGCATGTACGGCCTCATTAAAATTTGACTCGAAGTGTTCACCCCGTTTTTTTTCTCTTTTTTTTTATCTTAGGCTCTCTATAATGTGCGGGTGGGAATATTAATTAATTGCGAGGAGATCATCAAAGAGCACACACACACAGAGACCTCTGTTGACCTCTCGTCGAAGTCAAGGCGTAGCCGTGAGATCGTGCGAACGAACCGACCAATCGCACGCCAGCATTAGCTTGCGTTAACGAGAATGCCGACATGTGATTTGCTTTGCGACCTTAATATAATTTGCGTTACGCGCACGGGCCTTTACCGCGAATCTTTCAACCCCCTTCTTCGAGCAAGCACCTTGACTGAGTTGCAGACGAGTATTTAAAAAAAAAAAAAAAAAAAAAAACGTATGTGATCGTGTGGATCGGTGTGAATCGTGCGCGCGATTGTGTGTGAGATTTGTATGCGGATGTAAATGAGGTTATACTAGTGAACCGGTGAATGGAGGTTAGTTAGATTTCAACTTAATAGTGCGTTTAATTTGTATCGCAAACACGATGGAGAATCAAAATCTTCCACCTATCAAAAGTAACAATCCCGCCCCGACGGTGGAACAAATCAACGCGGACAGGATCACACAGGTATCTTTTCCCAATTGTTGTTTTCTTCAATATTTTGTAATTTTATATATACATATATATATACACATATAATTTTAACAAAAACACATGTGTGTATTGGTTTGTATCTTATATACATTGTGATTCTATTATTTGTTGCAGCTTGCCAATAAATATTGGGCGCCACACACAACAGACACACATCTACCGTTCAGTCCTAGCGTGGTTGAAGATATTTATCTTCAGGAGATATGCGCGTCCAAGTTTTCCATTCGGAGAATAATGATGTTGGAATTTAGTCAGTACCTGGAGAACTTTCTCTGGCCGAATTATGACGCAGAAAATGCGACGCGGGCTCACACTCTGTCCATTGTTGTTATGGTGAACGAGAAATTCAGAGAACGAGTACAGGTTTGGGAAGCTTTTGAAAAGAATCCGACGCACTTTCCCGGATTCTTTCAAAAGGTTCTCGAAGCGTGTCTGGAAGAGAGCATAATGGACTTCGAGCTGAAAGAACAGACAGCGCTGATAGTGTTTTTGAATCATTGTTTCAATTCCATGGAGGTGTCTCTGGTCAGGGAGGAAGTCAAAAGGCTGGTGTCTCTCTCCATGTGGGTCTCGTTGCAGCAAGGCAGAAGAGAACTCGAATTTAAGAAGTATCCAAAGTGGAGAAAGTATTGGAAGGTTATAAGAAAGAGAGATAATCCGGAGCAAAAGGAAAAGCTTGAGTGGGAACGCAGATTCTTGCATAAGCTTATGATAAAATTTATGGCCATATTGGAAACAGTTACCCCAGAAGGTACGTATTTTTATTTACACCTTTTTTTTTTTTAATAAGAAAGGACAGACAAAATTTTTTCTCAACTTCTACTTTGATATGAAGCAATTAAAAAATACATCTTCAATATTATGAACATTTACATTCTCAGGACCTCTACTTTCGGATAAGGTACGCTACTGCGAAAGGTTCCTGGAGCTGGTTATCGATCTCGAAGCTCTACTTCCTACCAGACGTTTCTTCAATACTGTCATGGACGACAATCATCTGGTGGTGCGTTGTCAGTTGTCTAATCTACTGCGTCGCCCAGAAGGGAGTTTGTTCGGACAGGTGAGTCTTCAATAACACACAACACAAGTCGAGATTTCGATCAATCGATATATAATGTATTTTCTTGTACAAAAATCGCATCATCTCACATAAATATCTATATAATACGAATATTCATTTTAAGAGTATAAAAATTAAAGATATTAGTGACGTATATATATAATAACTATATTGTGCAACGTGTTGGGACAACTGACTTGATATTGGGAAAAATATTGCACAATATAATTTCACATGTAAAATACTATAATATATCAACTTTTTCGCGTGGTGACATGAACACCGATATGCTATTGTACACACTAGACGTGTTAGAATTGCGAAGTGTCTCCGTAAAGCGTTTAACATTTTTTTTTTTTTTTTAAGGCATAAAAGATTCGAAATTTTGCTTTCAAGGCACATGCGATCACCAAAAAAAAAAAAAACACGAATTATCAAAGTTTCGCGCGCGATTTCATCAAATTGTTTGTTACGCCGACTCGCGAACAAACGGCGCTTCAAAATTTTTTAACAATTTTCAATTTACAAGATTCACACATTTTGCTTCAACCTGTGATCGCCCAACTTGATCACAAATTCGTTTATCGTATATTGCCGCACAATTTTTGCGTCTCATCTAGGACACGTTACTTTCCAACGTAATTTCCCCCCATTCGCACGTATATATTTCTATATTATTTTCACACAGCAAAACGCTATATAATACACACTTATAATACTGGTTTTTCTCTCTGGAATAAAAACAAAAATCCACATCCACACACTTAACATACTTATAAAGAATATCTTTTGGTTTCGATACTATGTAACGTTATATGTGTTCGATCAACTTTTCGCGCGAAGCACGTTTGTTATAGTTAAGATCTATGAAGAGTAAATTTCTAAAGCTACAACAGTTTAAAACTTGTTTTAGTTTTTAAACTCAAGTGAGCAATATACGAAGATCACATTTCCAAGACCGATCCGTAAACGCACGCACCGAGTTTTTACTTGTTTCAATTTTGTGGAATGTTTCTTTCTTTTTTTTTTTTTTTTTGTGTAAAACGTGCGTTTGTTTTAAAACGTATTCCGTTTGCGTAATTTAAATATAAAAACTCTGAATTACTCTCCGGTCGTCGCAAAATATTTGTTCGAGAGATCTCGATTATTCGAATCGCAAGATCTGAGGGATCTTAGTAACCCGCGTTGATGGCCGTCATTTCCTCGCCCCATTCGAGACCCTCGACGTTGTCGCCCGAGTCGCAGCAGTTGCACGTTTTACCGAGAAGAAACGTGACTCTGCGCTGACCGAACACGCACACGTAGAGCACGAGCAACGCCTGGAGCAGATTCACGACGATATGGCAGTACAAGAGAGCGTCGTATTGCATGCGCGAAAGCAGCAACGAGAGCAGACCGATGGTCATGATACCGCACAGAAAGAAGAACATGCGAAAGCTGTACTTCATCTTGTGATGAATCCGGCCGTACGTGCTCATACGTTTGATTCTGTTCGCGGTCGTTACCGCCAGACACAGATCGATCACGATGGTGAACATGATGCACATGAACATCACCGACACGCCGAGCCAGCCGAGCGTTTCCTGAGCGGGATACCTCGTCCCGCCCACGACGGGTTTGTTCGTCTCGAGGGCGAAGTGCGCGAAGATCGCGGTGCCGGCTATGCAGACGGTCAGGCTCCAAACCCAGGACGAGTAGTAGCAGTACTTCTTGCCGTCGGTCACCCGCAGAAAAACGTTGCGCGACTTGAACGTGTTCCACACGTAATAGCCCAGAGCGCTCAGCCAGAAGAAGGCGGCCATCAGGGAGACGTACATGATTATGTCTGGAAAATCAAGAAAAAAAAAACGCGAGTTAAAAATTGGAAAACAAACAACATCCGATTATTCGTTTCCCGGAGTGGGATAAGCGCGTTGTTCGTTTAATCGCGCTTATTAATTGACCCTTCCGTCGCATTCAGCTCGCTCGAGTGACTCATTAGTGTCTCTTTGTGGCGATTGACTTCGCGTGCGTCTCGCAAATACAGTCAATGGACTTGAAAGGATACGACCGAGTAGTACTTTTTTTTCCCCGTACGCTTTGTTAAGAAAGAAACTTGTGACGTTTCGCTAAAATGACACACGTAAAAGAAGATGTATCAAATTTGTTACATTAGATAATCTTTTTCGTTTTGATTAATTTAAAACTCGTCGATGTGTTATTGCGTATCTTATGTTGATTCACAGAAAATGAACTTCTTCCGAGAACCGTTTGCGTTCTCTTAAAAGGAACTTGTGACTCAACGACATGAGGAAAAGTGACTCGTGTTGAGAGTGAAAAACTGCGACGATTACCGGCAATCATAAAGCTGAAGTGACTGCCGAATTCTGTGAATATCCTGACGGTTGAGGCGCATCGATTTACCACCAGGCAGAGAGTCATGCTGGTGATGATATTGCCGACGAGGTCCCGTAGTTGTGGCAACACGAAGTAGACCACCGCGACTATCTGGTAACAGGCTATCGATATCGCGTGGAAGGTGGGATCGATCGCGCGTGTCATCAGATAATTGGTGTCGGTCCAGTGCACGGTGACGTCCGGCACGCATAGCATGGCGTACGTCGCCACCAACTGATCCCCGGTGAGAATCGTCTTGTCGGCGCAGTAATGACCGAACTGGTAATCGTAATGTATGACGTGCTCTTCGTCGTCGTCGATCTCAATGTCAAAATCGGAAACGCCGCGGTTCTCGTCCGTGGCCTTGCTCAGGTCGATGATGTGACGCAACACACCGGTCGGCAGAATCGCCAGGCGATCCGATCCGGACGGATAATAATACACGTTCCGCTGATGCTCGTTGGGATCGCATTTGGGCCGTCCGATCTTCAGCTCGTACTTGGGCTCGATCAGTTTCCGCACCCTTCCCGTCGTCGGATCTCGCTCCGCCACGAATTCCGGCCGCCACTTTGTCTCGTTCGTCTCCGCCAGCGGAGTGCACTGTTCGTCCATTAGTAACTCCTCGGGCTCGCAGCATTTGCCGATCTTTATCGTCTCACCGACATCGACGGATCGCGTCTCCGCGTCCGCGGCTGCGAGCGCCGCATTCCCCGTGCTCCACTCGACGACGACGATTGCGAACAACAACACTGACGCGCTCTTCTTCAGACACATGACGCCGAAATACACTCGGGTCCGATTGCTTGTTGCTCCTCACATTCGCGCCTTCTCGCTTTCTCCGCGTCGAGAGAGGCAAGTCGCTGCTGCGGCGTTTAATCGATTGTTTCGCGAAGCGTCCATCACGTCACCTCATCGCGCCATACCTGGCCCTGCCTCGGTGTTTCCAGCGTCTTTCACAGCTGCCTATACCTATCTCTACCTACCTAACTACCTACCTACCCCTGCCGCCAGCAATCGCCGCCATGACATTCCCATCCTCCTCCGTCAGGCCCCCCTACTCTCGACTTCCCTACGGCTCCCGACGGCCTCGAGTTGCTTCGAGTGATCGTATACGTATCTCCGGTTTTTGCCCGCGGTGCTGTGCAGCGCACTTCAAAGGCGCAACGCCGGCGCAACGTTTTACGCGCGCTTTTTTTGCGTCGCGATCCGTTCCCGATGCATTTTTCGCGCATGTAACATGAGCGACATTTCCATAAGAATTATGTTAAACATATAAGGCGACTACAGTAACTAGAAATATTTTTGCGCAATACACTGGAGTTCTGCGCGCACGTGAGAGTTAATTTGTTTTTTTTTCTTATCGCGAATATCGAAAGCGTCTGAAAAATTATCGATGTACGTTATAACCGAGCGAACAAAATGTAAGCTGAATTTCATTAGGCGCTGCAAGAAGTCGTTCAGTTTTTTGTTTATTTAATGTTAAAGAAAAAACAAGAAGAAATCGATTAATTTTTGTCTCATCTCTGAAACACAATATAGGATGATGTCAAAACACATTGTAATAATTTTTCTTCTAAATTTAACAGTTTCGCAAATCTGACAAAAATTTTTGTTTTTATTCTCACTGGAATTGTTTCTTGATTTTTCAACACCTTCGGGCGTTGTGAGTCATCAAGGAACGGATCTTCGACACGTGACACGGAAATTTTTTAATCTTATCTGATTAAATATCATCGCGTGGAACGATTAGGCAAACGATTAAGAATTTACGCGTTACAAAAGTAGTAGAATAATATTATCTTCTCCACACACTGTCGCAATATTTTGCTTTCTGACAGTTGGGAGAAAGAGAGAGAGAGAGAGAAAGAGAGGAGGGAGAGAGAGAAATAATGTTTACACATTAAAGTATGTACGTCACAAAACTTGGCACACATTCGCGTACAAAATTAACGCTCGTCGTTCGAAAATCTGTTGTTCTTCTTTATTCGCGATTTCTCGCATTTTTTTTTTTTTTTTGTCTCCGTTCCATTTTTATTATTCATTCGCAAGTTTTTTTCCGACAAAACGACGCGCCTTTTTGACGTGGCGACACGCGTAAATATAACATGTACGCGTCTCTTTGTCGCGTACTCCTGTGAAAAAACACTGCGCATGTTACACTGATGCATCGGTGCGTGTGCGTGTGTGTGTTCGTGATTTGAGCGAGCGGAGTTTTTTCTCAGGTCCACAGATAAGAGAAACATTTTCGGGCTCGCCACCGACTTTTTGTGCGTTTATACAGGCGCTTATAAAAAAAAACGTAAATATAAATAAATTGCGCTCCCCGCGACAAAATAGAATATAAGGAAATCAACCGCGTCGCGGTTTCTTCGTTAAAAACGCATCTTCTTTTCACGTTTTCCAATCCTAACGGTGTATCTTATTAAACGTTCAAGTAATGAAGTTCCGGGATTGGGTTAAGTTTTTTTTTATGTCTGTCCATTTATTTCTATCGTTTGACACGCACGAGCCACATGTGTGATTAGATATTATCTTCGAGTTTTTTTTTGTTCATCATCTTCATCTTCTTTATCCGAATGATCGTTCGGTTACGTACGTCTACTTGGCACTTTGTGATTAAGTCATTATGATTGTAGAGTCCAACAAAACATAATAAACAAGGAACTCGACTAGGATAAATATATATTCTGACATAACAACACGTGTGAATTGGCCGTTCAGATTGTCTCGAGATGTTCAACTTGTTGGTTTCGAAGCGCGGAGAATCGAGGAAAATTTTCTATTCCCCTATAATTTTTATTTATTGGAAAAATAAATTTTAATGTGTTTTTGATGTGTTTTCGATGATTTTAAAATGTATTTTAAAAAAATATTGTGTGTAAAATGTTTTTCAAGTCACACGGAAAAATATTTTTGTCGTCAAACGACGACCGGCAAGAAGAATTTGCTAAACTCACAGAATTTTTGTTTCGCCCACAAAAATGTTTTGTTGACAACAAATTCAACAGGCTGGTAAACTTTTCTCGCCGATCATGTGGTAACTGATCGTCTCGTGGCAAATTGCATATTTAAAATAAAATATTTATTGCATTGTGTCTCGTCAAACGCGAACGAGCGCGTCAATAACTTCATCGCGACGACGTCAATTGTGTCTCGAGACGATCCAATTTGCTTAACAAATGTGACCTACGCATAACTCAATCAATCTTGACCCATATTATCTGTGCCACATAGAGCCATTGCGAAACTATCGGATTTGTTACCTGAACACGCGCGCTGCGATTCACGGTGCGCGAACACACACGTTTTTATCGATGTGTAAAGAGAGCTCAATCACGATGCGATTGTATATAAACAGTAAGAGATTTTTATATTGCAATTTTTTAATTATTTATTTCATGAAAGAGCATCAGGTAGCCTTCACTTTCAAAATACGTAAGTGTGGCTCTCTTGCTGTTCCGTAACGTGTTTCTCTTCGCAGCTAGGCAATCGCGACGCCGTCAGTTTCGACTCTTCTGGTTGCGCAACCGAACATCTTTGCAGATTTACACGTTGCGGTCAACATATACGTGCAATACCAACCGACAAAACACAAGCGGAATGAGAGAGAACGCGAATGGGATTTACGTATTTTCGTAGAAAATCGCGATAAGTCGAATGACGTTGTCGTCGTACGTCGTCACGTGTTTCCGCGGGTGACTTGTATGAAAAATTAAGAAAAAAAAACTGGAACTGAATCACACGAGCGTAACGACTTATGTGCCGACCGATATGAGTAATTTGTCTTTTTGCGTTGTATATTTTTAGTTCAGTGAGTGATGTTACAACGTTCAATTGTTTATTACAGGAGATTCTTGTACAGCGCTTAAATGTAACACAACAATTTGCTAAAAATCGTTCAGAAAATAAAACTCGCACGTACAAACTCTATACGTTTTATATCTAAGTATCAAATTAATTCGAAATATATATCAAATCGTGTGCTTAACCACACAAGTAACGTGCAAACACATACAGAGAGAGAGAGAGAGACCGTCCTTAAGATGATGATGATGATGTTTCTTCTCGCGCGCACTCTCCCGACAGTTTTCGCACTTGTGGGCGTTCAATAGTGAAATACAAAAAAAAAAAAAAAAAAAAAAAAAAAAGAACACGAAAGAACCGCACTGAAGACAAGTTCTACATGGCCAGTGAGCAAAAGTTGCTAAACTTATTGAATTTTTGTTTCGCCAACGAGATGTTTTCGTCGGAAAAGCAAACAGGTTCGATAGGTTTGGCAATTGTTTCTCGCTGGCTGCTCTGATTGATCTTCTTGCAATTTCAGCAAGAACAAGAAATTTTTTCCGTGTGTGTCTTCTTATCCTTGCTGCGACAGCTCGAGCTCTTCGGGAAGCACCGCTTCGCACTCCTCGTCCTCGTAAGCGGCCCAGGATTTCGGGAAGACGATACCGCACGGGCGTTTTTTCGCCAAAAGTTTTCGCACTCGCTTCCGCGTCGCGACCAGAAGCAGGAATATGATAAAGCCTTGGAGACCGTTTATCAGATCCGTCGGTATCCTGGATTCAGAGGGGATTCGATTAAATCCGACGGGGCGAGAGACCGACCGGACGGATGTTTATCGGAATATTTCGAATAATTGCTTACCAAAACTCCTCGATCTTCGTGTCGACGGCGAACGACAGCAGTTCGAAGATCCAGGTGATACCCATTACCAGCACCAGTTTGATGTAGAGCAGACACTTGAATCGCAGAACTCGCAACTTGCTGCCCGTGTAATCGCGATACTGATGCCACAAACGCCAGCTAGTCAGTCCGAGATAGATTATGTTTAACGTTAGCAAAACAGCGACCGGCCCGTAAAAATACACCCACGTCTGCAAGCGACCTGCGAGAAGTTGCATATTTTTATATTATACGCGCCGATTCATCGAAATCGCGTGATCGTTCGGAAGATCGACGCGCGTTTCTCGACGAAGCTACGCTAAGCTTGAAGAAATTTCTTCCAAAACGGTATTTCCAAAAAAAAAAAAAAAAAAAAAAACTCACCGCCAAACCAACAGCTGTAGTCACCGAAGCCGGGCTTGAGGTGTTGTCCTTCCACGTGATGCATCGTCAGCGAGGTGATCAGGAAACACGCGGGAACGCCCCATCCCCAAACGCAATACGCGTAGAAGAGCGATTTCTCCCTCACCCGGAAGTTCTTAAACCTGAAACGCATGTTCGAAACGCGTGTGTGTCTCTTGGCGGGAAGATTTGCGGGAATCGGGTGTTTCCGTCGCAATTTGTCTGTTGCAAAACAACTTACCACACAGCGCGCCAAACATTAAAGGCCACAATGTTCAGCCAGAAGAACGCAGACATGAAGGAGAAGTACAGTATGAAACCTGAAGTGCAGAGATTTATTATTCACGAATTGACAAGGATTGCAAAAATAATGTGTGAATATCGCGAGAATTCGATTGTTACAAAAAAAAAAACGTTAAATCGAAATTCTCGATAAATCTTTGTTTTTTTTTTCGTTTTTTTTTTTTTTTTTTTTTGTTTTGTTTTTTTTTTAGCTCTTTTGCTGCGGCGAAGTCTAACGCGCGCGACACGAAATTTTAATAATTAATGCGCGTCAGTACCGAAAGTCACGCAAGTGGTGCGTTCGTCCTGCATGCTCGGTCGCAGGTGCTGAATGGAGAGAACGGTGTAGCTGACGGCCATCGTCGTGACCGCGGCCATCATCGCCTTGTCCTGGAGCTCACGCAGTTCGGGCAGTATCACGTAAACCGCCAGAGTGGCGATCAGAAAAATCGCCGAGATTATGCTCACGATACACACCAGGGTGTACTTCCACACGGACGTGCTCGAGCTTGAGCTCTCGTCGAAGCACGTCAGAGCGATCTCGCCGCCGCTCTTCGGCGACCTGGTGGTGCAGAATCTGAACAACAGAACAACAGACGCGATAAATGAAACGCGCAAAAATCATTAAACGGGAACAAAAGAGAACGCGCTTCTCTCTCGCGTCGACGAAAGATTCTCTTCGTGCAAATTATCGCCGGGTTTAATCGCGCGATAATTTCGCGCAACACCTGGGATTTTCCTTCGTTTCTCAACGTCTTTCCGGTCGTTTTTTTTTTTTTTTTTTTTTTTTTTTTTTTTTTTTTTTTTTTTTTTTTTTTTTTTTTTTTTTTTTCCTGGTAAGCGCGCGATAAGAAAGGAGGAAGTGGGATTATAAAATTCTTACTTGTCTGCCGGGATCCTTTCGTCGAGTTGCGACAGCAAATAGGCAGTGTCGTCCTCGTAGACGACGGTGAAGTTGTCGTTCTCCATGGCGTAGGGATCGATGAGGAAGATGCCGAACGGACAGCTCAGACGAATCCTCGATCCGTCCGAGCAATTGATCGAGTGATTCCATGTCGCGTTTTCGGAACAACAGGACACGTTGAGGGACGGATTCGTCGAGGAGACCGAATTAACGATCAGCCAGAGACACGGCAGCAACCAGAGACAACCTGCGAAGCAGCGTCGCATCTTTTGAGATGTCGATTCCGTCGTAACGCGCGAAAAAAGAAAGCGTCTAGCTGTGATCGATCTGACAATATATATATATAATATAATATGTGACGATCGCGTGATACATATTATTCTGTGAAAATTGCATCACGTTTGTATACGCGCAATTGATAAAAGAATCGAATTTTCATAAACAAAAACAATTCGCGGAAAGATGAGGTTTGAAAAATTCAAGCGACAAAACAAGCGTGAAGCAAGCAATTGTTAAACTTGTTTGCGTTTTGAGAGTCTCGCGCGTTTGCGTTCTCTTCTCTCTCTTTCATTTTTCCCGCTCGTCTTCGAAACGCTTCTCCTCCAAGTCGTAAAACTAGAAGTTTCAATATATACGTGCGGGCAATAAAAAAAGTGTCGCGGAAACGAGACGTTCAGTTTTTCGCGGCTCGTAAAACCGAAAGAGAAGGAATTCCCCAACCAGTTTCGAATTTGCATTTTGCAAATATTATTATTCTTGTTATTATTACCGCAAAAATGTGCTCAACATAGTCCGGGAGTTTCCACATTGCCACATGCGTCACTTGAGAATCGCTTCGATATCAAAGATTTTTTTATCGCGCGCGCGCGCGCGCGCGCGATATTAATGTTATCGCGAGCCGGGAACATATCGGTCCGGGAGTCGGTACGACTTCCGAAGTCATAGATTTGATAAACACAGAAAATATTACTCGATTCGAGCTGTACATGTAACGGTGCGTTAAATTTCACGAACGTTATCCTCGTTGAGGGATCGAAGAGAGATTGACGACGACGACGAGAAATTGGACGACGCGCCTGCTCTCATCCTGACGACGAACTCGTTTCAGGCGCAATAGAAATGTTAGCCGGTAACCCAGTTTAAACTAATGGCAGATGTGCGCGACGATATGAAACAATAGCCGCGAGGGAAAGAGATGAAGGGGGTGGCTCTTGTTATAACTGCTCCGGCTCTTGATTAATGGGCGCTGGGCGAACCGCCCATGTTTGAGAGAACACGTAGTACATGTGCGCCAGATCCACGTGCATCCGCGCGATACTCGGTCAGAGCAAACCTCCGGTTTGCGTACATTTTCGTGATTTTATCGTCCGTCCGGATTTACGGGAGCGTGTCTCTTTTTCCCGTCCCGCCGAAGCAGCGCGGAACGCGCAGCGCGTCAAATTAAAGCGCGGAGAGAGCAAATTGTAAAAATTAATCTTGTAATTTTTTTTTTCTCACAAAGCGAAATTTTCCGTTTATTGTATATTTATTGTATATTTCTTTTAATCATCTTCAATTTTGTGTATTAAAATATATTTTATTTGCAAAAATCGCGAGCGCTGTGTCGCGTCCTCGTTAGAACAAAGAGAAAAACACACATACGCACTAACTGCAATAATGTTACACAAGCGAAGAATTCGGTTCTCTCTGAGACACACCGACGAGATGTTGTGATACCGCGCGTTTGAAAAAATAAAAAACAAAAAACTTTTATTAATTCTCGCGCGATATGTGTTGTGTATGATGTGTGTTGAATATGTGTTTGTTTCGCGATTTTCTCTTGAACTGCGTGCCACTTATTTCTTTTTTTTTTTTTTTCTCTCTCAAACACTACACACTCGCCAGTAATTTATTGCTTCCTTATCAAGAAGCTCAAACGCTTCATTTACTTTTGCATCTTTTATCGTTTTTTTATCTTCTATTTGCAGATGCTGCGCATCGCGTAATCTCGTTGCCGCGGATATCGCGTTGCTTTTTTTTTTATCATTTATTTATTTATTTTTTTTTGTTTTGCAATATATATATATATATATATATTCAAGTGGCGCCGTTGTGTGTGTTTGCGTGTGCGCGCACACGCTTGGCGCGACTTTTCCGGCGGTTGATCTGCGGTGAACCTGATCGTCGCAATCGGTCTCGTTGCGACGGAAAACGTTAATTAAACATTTCCTTTCCACTTCGCAAATATCGCTCACTCGCAAGACACACACGTCGCTGCTGCGTTTTCCACCGCAATCCATCGAACGTGCGAACGTCTCTCTCTCTCTCGTTTTTTTCTTTTTTTGCATAAATAAATTTCTAAGAAGATTGTTTCACGATGTGTGCGACAGAGAGAGAGAGAGAGAGAGGCGATGTTCAATGTTGCAAATGAACGAGGTGCGAATCGGCGGCGGTACGCGTACAAGCGTCGCAATCATCATTCCCGCTTATTTGCCGCGATGACAATGACAACTTAATTAACGTAAGTGTGATCGTCTGCGTTTTTCGCGTACGTAATTGCCGCTTAATGATCGGGCGCAATTAGCACTCGCCGATATCGTTGCGCGATGTGTGTGTGTGTTTACGAAAGGGAGGAGACGCGCCGACAAATCTCTCTCTCTCTCTCTTCGTCTTCTTCTCGTCGTCGCGTGAACTCGAAACTGTGCCACTTCGCGCGCGATATGACAATCGAACGCGAAACTTGTTACTGCGTACGGAGCAAAAAAAAAAAAAAAAAAAAAAAACAGAACACTCGGACTTGTTGTCATCAGTGTCGCTTGTGACAGATGAGAGACATCCGAACGAGAGAGAGAACTCTGACGTTCGATGTGGATCAATAGCTCCGCTCCGCGAGATATCTCGATGAAATATCGAATTTCAGAAAACGGATTCGCGCGAAACACACGTGATTCGAGATTTTTAAACTCGTTCATAATGCGACGCGATATCTTTTTCATCAAATTGACTTGATGAGAATTGATGTCGCGATAAGAGCTACGCGCGATCAATCTCACGTCGTGTTTACCCTCGCTCTAGATCCCGGTTGCGATTTTATATATTTTCTCTTTCGTTGATTTAGATTTATAGTTTTTTTTTTTTTTTCCGTTTGATATATCGAAACTTAGCCGAACTTTTTCAGACGAACAGTGAAAATACTGTTTCTTCTTCCTCGCGCACGCACGATGTGTGTAGCGCGCGCGTTCGAGAGAATTTGCGCTCTCTTGTCGTAGCGAGCGCATCTCTGCTAACTGATCCAATTATCCGTTTCAATACAGAGAGTTCTCTTTTATCGAGACGAGAAAAAAAAAAAAAAGAAAAATTACGCGCAGTAACGATCCGAGTTAATTTCTTTACAAAACGATCGTTTCCGACGATCTTTTCTCCCGTGTTTCTGAATCGAAGTCGTTGTGTTGGACTTCAATCGGGATCGTTTCTGATAATCGATAAGGTGAATTAATTATCAAGATGTTTGTGAACAGATGTGCGTGTGTGTTTCTAGTCTCTTTTGCTACTAGTTTACACACACAAGTCTATTGTGGACGAAATCTGTAGATCGTTAAGATGCAAATTTAATGGAAGCTTTTACGTAATTCCGATACGCTACAAAACAAAAAAAAAAAACAAGAAACATGTACGTGATCGCAAAAAAAAAACAAACATGACAGACACTTTCTTGCGAAACGTGTGATCGCAACACGATGTTGTTATTATTATTAGTCATGCCAAAACCGATAGGTATTTTGCACATATTGGTCGGCAATAAAAATATCGAAAATCTCGCAAGGACGGACGATTGCGATCTCTTTCTCGGAGCGAAGCAACAAACTCGAACGAAACGATTAATTCAAATTCACCACGTGTGAAATCGATCGTTTGCAAATTTGTTTTTCGCATCGAGTGTATGATCAATACCGAAAAATTCTCCTCGCAACGCTTCTGCGCACGCGTTCTTCTCGGACGAAATTTAACAAGTTTGTGTGAAACTGAAAATTATTTACGTTGTCAAGAAAAATGACAAATCTAGGAAACACGCACAATTATCAAGAAAACTATATATGTAGGTACCGGAACTAAAAGTTCCGTTTTGAACATGTTAACATCTCGAGATACTACGTATCGTGTGCAACAACACACACGAAATCCAAACGGAACTTCAAAGAGATTCGAATGTTCGATTTCATCGACGAGATAATTCGATCGACAAAAAAATTGATTTCTTTTACGAGAACTTTGTAATTGTGCGCGAGAAATATCGCGAGTTTTTTTTTTTTTTTTTCGCACAAAGAGATCGAAGGTGCGATGAAGCATAAACAGGAAGCTTGCATACCTCTGATCGACGACGTGCCTAACCGCCTGTTGCAACTCACGTCGGATAACATCTCTCTCTCTCTCTCTCTCTCTCTCTCTGTCTGTCTGTGTGTGTGTGTTTGTATATGTCTCGGATCTCGTTACCGCATGTCTTCTCTTCCGAATCTCGTTTCTCGCCGCGGCGACCAAGGCGACAAAAGAAGTATAGGATTTTCCGTTTTCGAACCCTCCAACTGTGTGTGTGTATCCGATGCACTCGATCGGGGTCAACGAACTTGCAACTGATGCTTTGCTTTAGCGTTTCGTTAGGCTACGGAGACCTACGGGAAACCTATAATATTGACAACAAGAGATACGCAGTTTTTCTTCGTAAAGAGCCCAGGCTTCTTCTTTGATTTGATCGCGTCTCTTCCTCGTTTTTCTTCGACGACTTGGATCGTCGCGCGAATTTCAATCTTCGCACACTTTCACGACGCGGACATTATCTGAAAACTGACAAGAGCCTCGCGGAAAAATCACGTTTTTTTTTTTATTTGCTCAGACCATTCGAGACTGGCACCCGGAACGTTATCGGAATCGCGAGAAATGTCCTCGAGTTGAGCGCGTTCTTTTATTTGTTTTTTTTTTTTTTTTTTTTTTTCTCTCTCAAACACTACACA